ACCTACACATCATGCAACATGCTTTATTTATGTACATTATTCATTTTATGTACATATGTATCTGGGAATACTAAGGCATTAACAGTAAGCTTGACAAAGGAAAAGGATCAGTATGAGTTAGGTAAAAAAAAAAAAGTTACGAAATACTAGGTAAAGTTTGATACCAAGTTTGTGAAAATTGCAGGAGAAACAGTACATGTTTACCTTGCATGTAGCTGAACTTGGTTCAATTCTGGGCCTGGGGTTGGGGGGAGGGGGTGTTTGTCCTCCCCATAAAAAACACAAACAAAAAACCCCAAACCAAAAAAAACCCAAAGGAGTGAAGAGTAGAGGTGGAGAGAGTACAGTAGGTATGATGTTTGCCTTGCACATGGTTGCCCCGGCATTCCATATGGTCCATGGAGCACTGCCAGGAGCAATTCCTGAGTACAGCACCAGGAGTAAGCCTTGAGCATCACTGGGTGTGGCCCAAAGAGAAATGAACATAAATAAAATAAGTGTTTAAAAATCAAGTAAGGGCTGAAGAGATAATACAGGGGGGTAGGGTGCTGCCTTGCACACAGCTAACCTGGGTTAAATTTCTGGAACTACATATGGTTCCTTGACCATTGCCAGAAGTAATCCCTGAGCACAGAGGCAGGAGTAAACTCCGAACAATGCTGGGTGTAGCCAAGATTTAAAAAATCAAGTGTGATAGAAAAATCTTAATGGAGAGTGTCATTTATCTTTGATTTCTTTTTCATATTTTATAGACAGAAATGCATGCTATTAAAAATGTTAGATGAACTAAAATGGTCCTTAATTTTAACTAGCCACAAACAGTCTTCAAACAGTTTTTAAATAAAAACTATGTTTAATCTCTCTAATCACAATTAAAACCAAATTTGTCACTTGTACTACCATGGACCAAACCCAGGGTATCACACTTGTTAGGCAAGTGTTATCCAACTGGGTCACATCACTGGCCCTCGTGATATCACTTTACTTTTTTGGCTTTTGGACCACACCTGGGGACTATACTGTGCCAGGGATCAAACTTGGATCTCCTGCATGCAAAGCATATCTATCCTTAGCCAACTGAGCAATCTCTCCAGGCACCAATGATGCTATTTTTGAGGGCAGAACTGCCATTAAAAAAAGGTAGTGGGCTCTTAAAAGAAGTATTTGCTTTCAGTTAGACATTCCCATCACTCACAAGTGGTATCAGTGTCGTAAAAATTATAAAGCATTTACCTATTTGGTGGAGAACAGAGATAAAATATGCCACATAATTAAGAAGAAACAGATAATTAGCCAGAAAACAACAACCTAGAACACTAATCACATTTCCTTTTTAACACCCCTCTAAAGGAACATTAAAGAAAACCACCTTTCCTTGAGAATTCAGTCAAGAGAAATCCCCCTGTAGTTTTTGGGATTGGCAGATTCATTACAATTTCTAAGGTCTAACTGGGCCCTGTAGTGAACAAGGATCCCTGGCTCATCACAAGTGTTTTAACATTATTTTAAGAATGGACTTAGGAACCTTCTACTTGAAAGAATTCATTTATTTTGGGACCAAACCTGGCAGCGCTCATGGTTTACTCCTGGCTATGCTCAGGGGATCACTCCTGGCAGTGCTCAGGGGATTGTAATTAGTTCTGGATATCAAGCTTAGCCAGCCACGTTCAAGACAAGCCGCTTAACACACTGGCCCTTAAAGGAATTTTTTAAAAGGATGAAAACAAAACCTCACAAAACTTTCTTAGGGTACTGTGAAAATCCAACTAAAAAGACCAGGTTAGTCCTTGGAAATTCTGGCAATGAATGATTTCACTGAATATGAATCGTAAGTCTGGAAATTTATAGTCAGTTAAATTCCTTCCTTTAAAAAATTTAGAATGAATTGAGGGGTTACCTATCCAGCTACCAGGCAAATAAATAATCTTAGAATTGTAATGGTTTATTAGTATTTTTTTGTTTGTTTTTGGTCACACCCAGCAATACTCAGGGGTTATTTCTGGCTCTGCACTCAGGAATTACTCCTGGCAGTGCTTGGGGGACCGTATGGGCTGCCGGGGATTGAACCCAGGTCGGCCGCGTGTAAGGCAAATGCCCTACCCGCTGTGCTATTGCTCTGGCCCCTGGTTTATTAATACTTACAAAAAACCCTAAGATAAAAAGATCTAAAATTGAAACCACAAGCTTCATTAGCAAGAGAAAAATTTAAATGCATACTTTAAATGAATGATCACCATAACTATTTTTAAAGACCCATCAAGTTTACAAATAACAAAAGACAGCATAAACTATCCTGGTAGTGATAGACTAAAAAAAGCACCGTCAGTATTGCCGATCCCCTGAACCCACATCTATTAGCTCATGCTTATTAGTGTGGCAGGTATGAATGCAGGAGACCCCCAAGGAGATCTGCAGTGGTCTATGTAGTCCTGGGAGCATACACTGTTATTTGCATGCTCCATGAGTTCTTTAAACAAAGGCAATCTAGATTAGGGGGGTTTGGCTCAATAAACTGGCAGGCAGTGAACTAATGCATACATCCTCTTCTCTAAATCCCAAGAGGACAAAGTCTTCTCTCTATTGAGAGCACACCTGCGTCCTCATCTGTTCAACTTTCTTTTGTAAAAGAAATTAAGCAATTCTGAATTTTGCTTCCTATCCTTAAGCTTACTATAGCCACTGACATAACTTTGATAAATCTGAAATTTCCCAGCAATTTTTCAAAATCATACCCAAACCAAAACTGTCTTTAATTTTCAATTACCCAAAATTTGTTAAAAAATGCTTCTCAGTAGCAAGGACCTATAATCCTCAGTTTGCAGGACCAGATTATACATGTTGTTCAATTCTTCCCCTATTGTACCACCTACTTACTACTTCCTTTCAGACGCCTTTGCACTTTTACTAGTCAAAATTCTTGCTTGAAATAGAGCTACACCACTAGTTCTTTGCTCCTAAGTCTTTTTTCCTTCACAATCATTCCTAAAAGCTGTCAGGAGACTGGTGATTTTGAAAACCTTTAAAATTCCTGAACTGGGGCTGGAGAGATGGTACAGTGGGTAGGATGATTGACTTGCATGCAACCAACCTGGATTCAATTCTTGGTACCTTCAAGAGTAATTCTTGAGTGTAGAGCCAGGAGTAACCCCTGAGCATCACCAGATATGATCGCCCCCTCCCCCCCAATCCCTAAACTGACTTCCCAGTTTCATTTCAACCTCGATTCTGAAACACAGATTTCATGCATACTTTAGTAGTAGAACAGTAGGAATGGTTAATTCCCACAAGGTATCCAGGTATTTAGGCTCCTGGGAAGATGTTCTTCCTTTTATATTACTTCCTGAGTTATTTCCTCCAGAAGATTAACATTTCTACTCATAAAAACAAACAAACAAAAACACTGCGGGGCTGGAGCGATGATACATTTGGCAGGGTGCTTGTCCCGCTCATGGCCCAGCTGGGTTGGATCCCTGGCATCCCATACAGTCCACTGAGCACCACCAGGAGTAAATTTCTGAGTGCAGAACCACCAGTAAACCCTGAGCATTGCCTGGTGTGGCTCCAAACCAAAAATCAAAACAAAAACCAAAAACTCTAAAACAAACAAACAAAAAGTCTTTTTTATTTTTGAGCCACCAGTGGGTGGGACTTGAGGGGGTGAGGGCTAGGGATGTCCCTCTGGGTGATGCACAGTGCCGTGAATAGAATCTGGGGTTACAAGCAACATATGCTTGTGCTCCTCTCATCTGGGCCATCTCACGGACCCCATGATTTGAACATTAAATGTAAAACACTCTAGTTGTTTTTCTGGTTTACATTAAGTTTCCAGTATTTCATGAGACTCAATCCAAGACAGACTGGTTACTATTTCAATTCTCAAAACTGTTCCCATTCGGACCACCTTCCCTTACCAGTGATGACCTACACTATTCACACACAATTTCCCCCTCATTTCCAAAGCCTCGTGAACTGATTCTTCAAAGCGCATTTCAAGCAACTCTTCGAAAGCAGCCATTCCGAGTTCTACTCGCCTAAGTTTTAAGCGGGAGCAATTATTCTTCTTAACTCGACGTATACATGTCAAATCCATTTATCTATCCTCTTCCCGCCTCCCCGCCCCAATTTGACACAGCAGCAGGCATCTTGGTAGGTGATTCACATATTTATTCCAACAACCAGTTTTCCCATTAACACCATATCCTGCCTTCAGTTGAGTCACTTTTTTGAACACAGACTTCACCAAACGCTCCTGTCACCCAACACATGCCCACAAGCAGGGCGGGAGCCCCCTCGGCTCGCAGCGGGCCTTGCAACGACTTCCACCCTCCTCCGTTTCCTCGGGGCCCCCGGAGGACCCCGCAGCCGAGCCCGGGACCAGTGAGCGGGCAACGGCGATCCGACCGGGGCCTGCCCGATTCGCTCCGGTCCACACCGGGGCTCTGAGCACCCATCCACCTCTCAGGAGCCTCCGTCCGCGGGGTCCCCAGCAAGACCTCCGGCTCTCTCCCCCGGGCGCGTCGCGTCCCGCCCCTCAGGGCCCGGGGCCGGGGCGGACACTGGACACCCGACACCCGGCCGGCCGCCCTCCGCTTCCCCCGACACGGTCAACTTCCCAACTTTCCCAACCGGCCAGTCCCCGGCGGCACGGCGAGCGCGCGGCGTTTCCCTCCTCTCGCCTCGCCGCCCCGGAGCCGCGCGTCCCGCGCCCGCACGGCCCCGCGCCCCCCGGCCTCCCCCCACCCTCCCCGCGCCCGCGCGTCCTTCCGCAGCCCCGACACTCGCCGCGGCGTCTTCGGGCCGGAGTCCACGCGCGTTTTTGTTTTCCCCCGGCCGCGGGGCCCGCGCGCGAGCCGGCGGGCGGGGACAGGGGAGGGGCGGCGCGGCGGGCCGGGCCCGCGGCGCCCGCCGGCACCCCCGCCCGCGCAGGCGCGCCGAGCCGGGGCCCCCCGCGCCCCCCGCGCGCCCGCGCCCCCCGCCGGCTCCTCTCCCGCCCTCCTCACCCGTTCTTCAGATCCACCTCCAGGATCTTCCCGTAGCCCTTAAAGAAGCGCTCCACATCGCGCTCGCGGGCCTGGTAGCTCAGGCGGCCGATGTACACCCGCGGCATCCCGGCAGCGCTGGCGGCGGCTCGGCCCGGCCCCAGCCCCCTCAGGCGGCTGCCCGCGGAGCGAGAGCGCGACGGCGGCGGCGGCGACGACGGTGACGGCGACGGCGACGGCGGCGGCGGCGCGGCGCGGCGGCGGCGGCGGCGGCAACGGGCGGGCGGCGGGACGGACGTAGCCGAGTCCCGGCGACGTGCGCGAGCACGCAGCCCGCGGGCGCGCGCCTCCCGCCGCCCCCGCCCTCCCCGCAGGCCGAGGGGAACGGGAGGGAGCGCGCCTTCGCTTCCCGCCCGGTCAGGCGCGGGGGCGGGGCGTGCCGGGGGCGCGCCGCCGGCGGGCGGGGCCACGTGATCGACGGGCCGGCCGGGCCGCGCGCGGGCCGCCTGTCTTCTCGCGAGCTCGCGGCGCCCGAGTCGGGCCGGGCCTTCCGCCGCCCGCGGGCTCCAGCCCGCCCCCCGGAAGTGCCCGCCCCTCCCCCAGCGGAGCGGGAATGCCTGCTTTTGTCCTTTGAACCGGGCGTGCTTTCGGCTGGAGCCGGGAGCTTTGAGTTTGAGCTGGCTTCTCCGCCTTCATCTGCGTGTCCGTGACCTTGGGCTTCTTAGGCGGCACCTCGCGGGCGGACGGGAACTTTCCGAGTTGCCTTGATGGGTACCGTCAAGCACTTAGTATTGATGCCAGCTCATCGCCAGTGCCTAATACCGATACTTTCAAAAACACGACAGAGGACGCAGCGATAGTGCAGCGGGTAGGGCGTTTGCCTCGCACGCCGGAGGCCCGGGTTCGATTCCCCGGTCCCATATATGGTCCACCGCCAGGAGTAACCCCTAAGCACCGCTGGGTGTGACCCAAAAACCAGAGAGAGATTGTACAGAAGTTAAGGAGCTTAATGCCCTCATTCCCTTCACCACCCCACACCTTGCAATAAAATAACAGTAGTATAATAGCACAGCTGTAGGGCATTTGCCTTGCACGCAGCCAGCCCGATTCCTCTGCCCCTCTCCAAGAGCCAGGCAAGCTACCGAGAGTATCTCACCCGCTGGGCAAAGCCTGGCAAGCTACCCCTGATGTATTCGATATGCCAAACACAGTAACAAGTCTCACAATGGGGACGTTACTGGGCCTGCTAGAGCAAATAGATGAACAACAGGAGTGCGACAGTATAAACGTAGTGGGCCCGTGTTCCCCCCAGGTTGAAATCCAGCACCAGCATCCCACAGATCCCCCAGTATGCAAGACTTGACCCTAAAAGGCCAGAGTTGCCCCTGAACATCACCAGATGTGGCTCTGCAAAAAAGACGGGTGGGGGTACTAAAGAAGCTTCCTCAGGATTATTTCTATGGTTGTTTTTTGTTTCTTTCTTTCTTTACTTGTCTTTGGCACCAAGGATAGAACCCAAGGATTCATGCAAATTACTAAGATACATTCCTGGTCCCTAGGACATTGAGTTAGGTTTAAATCTTTGTTAAACTCCCAATGCACTACTCTGTATAGACTTACATGTAGGTTCTTTTCCAGAAGTGGGCTAGTTAGGTATGGGTATGAGGAATTTTGACAGACGTGGCTCAGTTGCTTTTAAGTCCCCATTTCCCCCAACTGCACATCAACAGTTATAAAACTATCTTTTAGGAATAAAGACTGAGTCTCAGTGCTAAAATACGTGCCTTCAATGTGCTTGAGACCTTGGGTTTCATCCCAGCATTGTGCTAAAAAACAACAAAGGCCAGAGATCATACAGCACCTTGCAGGTGGCTGACCTGGGTTCAGTCCCTGGCACCACACAGGGTCCCCCAAACACAGCCCGAAATAAGTGCTGAGCACTGCCCGATGTGACTCTGAAACCGAATCCAACTGAGCTATCCGTGCCCCTAGTGGTTTTTGTTGATTTGAAAAATGGAATCTCAGGGTGGTTTAAGTTGCAATTATTTTGAATGAACTGGGCCTTCTTTTATATAATTGAGATGTGCTTTTTGTGTGTTTAGATCTGTTGCCTATTTTTCTTATTCACAGGAGCTCTTTGTCGAATAAATTGCAAATAATTTGATTGGTCTGTTTGTTGGATTTTGACTTGGTCCACAGTATATTTTGTCATGCTAAAACATTAGATATGGGTTCAAATTTATTATTTTTCTGGTTCTGGATTTTGCCTTGAAGCTTCAACGGCTTTACCACCGAGATTTTGTTTGTTTTTAAAAAACCTTTCATGGTGGGGCCAAAGAGATAGTTCAAAAGTATGCTGGCATGCTTTGTATATGGTATGATCCCTTGTACGGTCCCCAGAGCACTATGGGGTATGGACCCCAAATCAAACCAAACCAGAGGAAACCAAATCAAAAGATTCCCCTGATTTATTCTGTTACCCTGAGAGCTTATTCCAGCCTCTTCCCTTTGCTGTTGTTGCTTTGCTGTCCAGGAATGCCAGTACCATATTTGTTATGCTTCTTGAACACTTGATCAGTTGGGGATCATAATGGCGTTTCTGGGGATGGAACTTGCAGCCTCATCATAAAAGCCATGCCAGCTGGGCTTCTGAGCATATATTTGTCTTTTATTTTGGTGGTGGTAGTGCAGGGGGCACACCTGGTTGTGCTCAGGGCTTACTTCTGGGTCTCTGCTTAGGGCTCATTCCTGGGAGGGCTCAGGGGACCATATGGAATGCTGGGGATCAAAGCTGGGTCAGCCAGATGCAAGGCAAGCACTTTATCCACTGTAGGTCTCTGTGACTCCTGTAATTTAAAAAATTAGTTTGGAATTTAGCAAGGTGTGAGGATTTTTTGATCTGAGCTAATATGTGGCCATGCGAAGGGGATTGTTGTTGAGTGTACTGCAGGGGATCAAGCTTGTACTGCAGTCTTCTGAGCTATCTCCCTCGTCTCCAGGATAATATTCCTAAGAACTAGTGCTAACCTTCATTGACATATCAGCTGTTCAAACCCACTGCAAGGATGAGTGAGCCCCCAGAGAGGTGAACTGCTGTGTCCCAAACCTGCTCCTCCTCCTAAGTACCCTAACTTAGGGAGTACATCACTGGCAAGATGGCCAACCCTGCCGTCAGATACCACATCCAGTCTGTGCTTTGGTTTCTTCTTTCTAATCAGTCTTCCCCAGAGTGAGTAATACTGTCCTGGGTGGTGGACTGGGGGCGCTAGACTAATCCACAGGGGTGGAGTAGCCTCATGTGCATTCAGTTGGGGGCCACTCTGTTTACTCACTTAACATACTGATGGTGCTGCAATTGGTGGGAATTAAGCCCCATCGAAGTGTGAGCCACTGGGGGTACACACCAGCATCAAAGAATTCCCCATTTCCAAAAAATGATGGAGCAAATAAGTTTGGAAACCTCTGTTCTAAATGTTTAGGAATTTTGTCACTTCTCTCCCACTGACTAAACTAGTTCAGGCCTCATTGTATTGTTCACACATCAGCACTTTAAATCTGCTCACTGTTCCTTCTGCCTGAAATATGGCTGGCTTTTCCCTCGTCAGATTTCAGACCATCCTTAGTTACCTTAATATGTCTACTTTCCTTGTCTTCATTACTATTGCTCCCCCTGTATTTTTAATTTCCTAGAAGCTATTTTCCTAGATAATTACCTTGTTTATTCACTCATTCTCTGCCTATTAGGGGTCCTTTTTCTTTTTAATTCTGCTATAACCCTAACAACCTATCACAGTGCTTTTCATTTAAGGGTGTTCAGAGTATTTACTGAGTGAATTAAAACATAGGCTTCTTGGGTTATACACACATACAAACAAACAGCGTTTTTGTAGAAGGCCACACAGTTGAGGCAAGTGCTCTACTGCTGAGCTCCCAGCTCTTACTGAATGAATAAATGATCTCTCACCTGGACTACTGAAATCATATCTGGCTTCTTCCTTTTTTGCACGCCTCCCACTAGGCAGAGGGAAATCTGAACTTCTCCTGGCTGACACATCAATCACTATAGACAAAATCAAGAACTTCCGAGAAAAGTGAGTGCTGAAGGCCCATGGGGCAACATGCACATCGGTACTGACTAGCACAGAGGCCAGACAATGTCAGGGAGTTGGGTGCTTTCTCTGTCACCTTGAGCTATGTGACCTTAGTTTACTTCTCTCTGGCTTTCTCCTCTGTAACGCAAAGGATACAACCGTCTTGGGTATAGGGAAGCTGTAAAGTCACTGGAGATGGTCACACACTGCATAGGGCTATGGTTTAGGGAAACCTTCCATTTCCGAGGGTGCTGACATCTTCCCGTGTACCTAGGGCAAGCTTGCTGTCTTTCCAGGATTTTTCTGCCTTCACATGCAGTGTGATGACTCTCCTTTCAGTTGTGCTGGTGGAGCCCAGTGCCCTCAACAGGACATGGTGCCTACAAATAAGCCTGAGGCTTGTGAGTGCTGCTGAGAGCCTCTGGGTATGCGTCAGGGATGCCTGGCACAGATAGGTGTGCCCAGTAATAGTTTTCTTCCAGACCTCAGTCTTTCCTTGAGGAAAGCTGACTTCATTAGCTCTTATCAATCAAGGTACCAGTATCCAGCAGTGGCTGCTGGCAGTCATAAGGTGGAGGCTCTGAGGAGACCACAGAGCAAGAGTCACGAAGCCTCAGGGCTTCTGGTATGCTCAAGCTCATTCTTAGGAGGCAATACCTCTTGGTCTTCTTTGATTCTTCTGGGGCCAACGAACCCCCTTTTTTTTAAGCTATCTGAGAAGGATATTATTTACTCACTGGGCTAGAGCTATCCCAACTCCATTGAGATGACTCAGTCTGAAAATTATAAAAAAATGTTTCCGGCGGCTGAGAGTACAGTAGGGAAGGCACTTGCCTTGAATGCAGCTGACCCAGGTTTGATCCCAGGCACCACATATGGTCCCCCAAACCCTACCAGAAGTGATCCCTGAGTACAGAGCCAGGAGTAAGCCCTGAGCACTGCCGGGTGTGACTCAAAAATCAAAAACCAAACCAAACCAAAACAGTTTGTATTTGTAAAGCGTAGAGGATGTGATGTATTTTGAGTCAGACTGTTTTGTTTTCTATTGACAACAGGCTAAGTCCAAATTTCCTAGCTGGAATTACAAACGTTCACAATTTACTTTTTCACTGGGTCAGCTGATTTCAGTATAAATTCAATCAGAGAATGTCAATTAGGATTAGGTTCAGAGAAACCCCAGATACCGTGGATTGAAATAAAATAGAAGATTCTTAGGCAAAACAAGCTGCAAAGGGACTGGAGAGATGGTGCAGTGGGTAGGGTGCTTGCTTTGCATGGGAAGCACTGGATATGTCCCCTAATGAAAAACAAAACACAACACAACAACAACAAAAAGAGTAAGAGGACTTCTCTGGGCCTCCTGGTTGGGAAGGTTGCTGTGGTTTCTTGGGCGGGGTGGGGAGGCCCCCGCACTCTGCAGCAGTGCTGATAGATCACTCCCAATAGTGCTCTGAGGACCATGTGGTGCAGGGGATCAAACCTGGGGTTTCCCCTCATGCAAAGAACGGGTTCCAGCCCTTGGAGCTGTTGGCAGCTCCGCTGTTAGTTTCTGTTAGGTTGGTTCTAGGAAGTTCAGACTTTTATTTTACATACCCCGGGGGAAGCCTTGGCCAGCAGCACAATTCTCAGAGCTGGAAGTGATGGTGAGGAGCGGAGCTGTGAGTGGCAGCTGAGACCAGGTCTGTGGGTCCGGCTCCCCACCACTTCGCCTCCGGAGTCAGCACATGGTGAGAATCTGCTTGGAAGACACGAAGGGCTTCATGCATGCTTCCAAGGCCTGCGCAAAGTCCTGCAGGGGCACCTCGGAGCAGGCGGGTGCTGAGAGCTGGCCTTGGCGGATGAGCTCACACAGCGTGAGGATCAGCTCCTTGAACTCGTCTGTGGGAGGATGGCAGAAGTCACTTGGGGCAGCAGCTGAGCAAGGAAAGCCCCCAGAGAGGGCGGCAGTGGAGACGGAAGGAGAGGAAGGCCAGAAGGGTCTGGGGAGTAGCCCCAAGAGCTGACCAGCAGGCAGGGAGGTGGCAAGATGGCTTAGGCCCACAGAACTAGGGTGTAACTTGAGTCCTGAACAGGGGAAGCCAGAGCGGTACGGGGCAGAAGGCGGGTGCGCCTGGTGTGTTGGCTGACATGGCACTGGTGAGCCATACTAGGGAAGAGGAACATTCCCTGAGTTCCCAAGATACCCCCAAAGACCATCATCAGTAGCCTCTTCGATCTGTCCCCAGTAAGACCCCACAGTGCACAGGAAGAGCAGTGAGCACCTGGCGTGTGTGTGTGTGTGTGGGGGGGGGGGGGGCAGTCTTCTCTCAGACACGAGTTCATGCTACAGTCCACTCACACCACAGCCCCACGCAGGCCAGTGGCTCCTCAGCTGCCTCTGAGAGCCTGAGGGGCTAGAGAGAGAGCACAGGGGTAGAGCGTTTGCCTTACATGCAGCTGACTGGGTTCCATCCCGGGCGCCCTATATGGTCCCTTGAGCACTGACAGGAGTGATGTCTAAGCACAGAGCAGGCGTAAACCCTGAGCACTCTGGGTGTGGCCCAACAAGCACCGGTCTCACTTCCCACCTCAACACACAGAAACAGACAAACAGACACACACACACCACACACCCAGTCTCAAAAAGAGAGCAGAGAGATAGCACAGTGGGTAGGGTGCTTGCCTTGCGTGTGGCTGATCCATTTTGCTCCCGGGCACCACATATGGCTCCAAGCCCTACCAGGAGTGATCCCTGAGCACACACCCAGGAGTAACCCCTGAGCACTGCCGGGTATGGCTCCAAAACCAAAACTAAATCCCCCCAAAAAACAACAAAAACAAAAATAGAGCCTGAATTCTCACAAAGACTAAAGAGGGGCTTTGTGATCTGGTCCTCATCTATTCGTCTCCTTCCCTACTTCCCAGGATGGGTTTTGCACTTGTGTTTTTTTTTTTTTGCCCCCTCCTTCACCCTACCCCCCACTTATGCATCGATTTTCTTTGCTTCACTTAGATAACTGCAGGCCATTTGTCATTCTCAGGTTGAGGGTCACTCAGGGGAACCTGTCCTCCAGAAGCAATAGATGGGGGGCTTTGGGCAAGCTACTGAGCCACTCCGAACCTCAGTTTCCTCCTCTGTCAGAGAGGGAGAAGCAGAGTTTCAACTATTTTAACACAAGTGGAGGCTGAGCTCCAGGGAGCATGCAGATCCTGCATAAGGCACTACTGTGCGGATGACAGAGGTGGGGTTGGCACTGGGGGTGGCCTAGCCTTGGTGGTCCACTTTGCTTGGCTGAGCCCTGTGGCAGTGCCCCCCACCATTAGCCTCTCAGGATGCGGGCAGCACATTTGTTCAGGGTGGTGTGCCCAAGCCCAGTTTGACCCATGACACTGCTGACTGCAGCTGGGACCAGGGGCGCGTTTCAGAGGGTGGCACCGTCCCCTGCACGACCCCTGGCAACCAGGCCATCACCAGCTCACCTGGACTGTGGTTCTTCTTCCACTGGGACAACCAAAAGCCCCGAAGTCGGACATCCTTAAAAATGAGCAGGCTCTGTGGGCACAGGGAGGACAGGCTGGTGGGCAAGGACTTCAGATGCCACCCCCGGTGCTCAAGGCTGAGGGGCAGAACTTACCACGGAGGCGATGACGGGCTGCTTGGCCATCCCTCCGTAGGTCACCATGGTTCCTCCGGGCCTGCAGAGCCAAAGAGGGTGGAGTGAGCGGGATGCCACATGCTCCTGTGCCTACTCTGAGAATCTCCGGGAGAGCTTCCGAAATCCGGATTCCTGGGCCCAACCCCAGAGGCAAAGGTCTGTATTAATGAGAACAAACAAGCCCCCTCCAGTGACCTGGGATGCCCAGCTGGAGCGTGTCCTGGACGTTACCCACTCATCAACCGGAGTCAGGCTGGGTGAAGTGTGATGGGGGTGTGTGCTTGGCAGGCAAAGCTTGGACGCAAGTTCAGGTAGGCTCTTCCCACTTCAAGACATGATGGGCTGGAGCAACAGTACAGCAGGTAGGGCACTAGCCTCACGTGCAGCCAACCAGGGTTTGATCCTCGGCATCCCATATAGTCCCCTCTGAGCACTGCTAGGAGAGATTCCTGAGTGCAGAGCCAGGACTAACCCCTGAGCACTGCTACGTAGGGCCCTCAAACCCAAACCAACAAACAACAACAACAAAAAGACAGGCAGTCTGGGGCACTGCCCTGAAGCTGGGACTTTATGAGCTGGAAGGACTTAGCAACTCTGCCCCCCTCTCAACTCACAGGCTCTCTAAGTGTCTATCTGCCAAGGACAAGCCAAGGCACACGACAATACAAGGGAGACTAAACCACACAATGCCAGAAGTGCTTATAACTCTTTGTCTCTGAAGCAGGTAGGTAGCTAAATTTTTAATTTGTAATTTATTTTGGGGGGGGAGAGGTGAATTTGGGTTACACCCAGGAGTGCTCAGGGCTTATTCCTGGCTCTGTGCTTAGAGATAACTCCTGGTGATGCTCAGGGGGGTGGGGGTGGGGGAGAACCACATGCAGTGTGAGGGATTGAAGCAGGGCTGGCAGCCTACCTCCTGTACTGTCTCTATGCCTCCTGGTGGGGTTAGTCTTAATAACCCTCAACTGCTACCTGTTCCAGCAAGTAGCTCCTGGGCACTCAAGCCAGGGCAAGGAAGTGGGAGAGACAAGTCTGACCCCAATTTCTGTGAATTCTGAGGAGGCCTCTTCAGGTAGTCTCCATGGCAGCCGCTAATCCCCTGACACTTGGTACGCCTGCCTCCCCCCACGCCCACCCCCATGCATTTGGTCTAATCAGCTGAGCTCACATCACCTTTACCGGAGGTTCATTATGCACCAGGTCTGAGCATTTTACATGTAAAAATCTTCGCTGGATGCCAAAAGCAGCATTCTCAGTAATCTCTCCCTCTCTCTCTGGCAGTGCTGGGGACCAAACCCAGGGTTTCACACATGCAAGGCAAGGGACAGAGGGCTCCACAAATCGGAGTGCATGCCTGCATGTGGGAGGCCCCAGATTCACACCCTGGCACCACGCGGTCCTGAGCACTGCCAGGAGTGACCTCTGAGCAAGCTCCATTCCTAGTCCACTGCCCCATTCTGTCAATGAGACCACTGAAAGCCTCACTTGTAGAGGGGCCCTGTGTTCCCATGTCCCTTAGACTGACCTGAGACAGAAAGGGATTTCAGCCTTATGCCTCTGCACTTTGCGGGTGAAGTGCCTGGGGCCTGCCCCCTTTCCATGGGGTGCCTCACAGCGACTAAGAAGCAAAGCAGAGGGGTTGTGAACTCCGTCTTCCACAGCCCAGCGCCTACACTTATAACCAGCGTCTGCTCCTGGCTCCAGGAGTGGCATCGCAGGGCAGCTGCCCAGGAGGTGCCTGAAGAGGCATGCTCGGAATTCAGAGAAACTGGGCTCAAAGTTGGCTCTCCCACTTGCGAGCCCTCGGAGGGGGTGACTATCCTCTCAGGTCCTTTTATAAACGGGGACTGAGCACCCTGCTCCTAGGTGTCTGGAGGTGCCTGCTTCCTGCACCCTGCAGAGTGGCACGGTGGATGCTTGGAACTAGCTCTCTGCCACATATCCCCCACCCCCAACCCCTAGGCTCAGAGTTCCAGAGACTTCCCAGCCATTTCTGAGCCTGGTAGCTAGTATGTGCTGGCACAAATGTGATGAGTGCTCCTGAGGGCATTCCTGCTGCCCCTGGGAAGAGGCCTTGGGGGGTCTTTCAGCTGGAGCAGCTTCCGTGAAAGGGAAGCGCCATGGAGGAGGTGTGTAGTCATCACTGTCAATAAGGCTGTCCCCGGGCTGGGCGGTGACAGGTGACTTCTGTGCTTCATACATTTTTTTTTATATGTTTTCAAAATGTTTTCTAACAGCATGACATTAACTTTAAAATTAGGATCTATTTTTTGTTCCTTTGTTCTGCGGCCACACCTTGTGGTGCCCAGGACTTACTCTGCACTCAGGGGCCACTCCCAGTGGGCTTGGGGAGCCACAAGGGGAGCCAGGGATCCAACCCTGGTTGGTTGGTTGCGTGCAAGAGCCCTACCCACTCTACTATTGCTTCAGCCCTAGAAATCTAATTTAAAAAGCTAATAAAAGATGTGGAAACTGGAAAGGAGTGACTTTGGGGGATTATTAATCTAGATTATGAATCCTCAATCCTTCCCCTAATGCAGAGCTCAGCAGCGTGATCTCTGGAGACCCCGGGCTGACTGGCTGGGCCTCTCAGCACCTCTAAAGGAGGAGGCTGAGAAAGGAAGTGCCTGGAGAGCTGCGGCCTGGCCTTCACCCTCATCCTGTACTCCAAGAACTGTTGATGAGGTCTTGGCTTGCACTGGTCACTGGGCCTGGGTCACTGGTTGCCTCCTAGCTAAAGGCCTGGACCAGCCAGGGGCCAGACCTATTGACCTGCGAGGCCAGGAACTTACGCCAGATGCCGCAGCAGCTCTGTGGAGCTTTTCCCGCCAACACAGTTGAGAGCAAGCCGGGGCGGAGGTACATCCTGGAAAAGAAAAGACCTGCTGTGAGGGTGCTGGCACTTGATACGGAAGGTTGAAAGCTACTCCAAACATTTCTTCCGGGGGGTGGGGGGAGCTGGAGCGATAGTACAGCGGGTAGGGCGTCTGCCTTGCACACAGCCAACCCGGGTTTGATTCCCAGCGTCCCATATGGTCCCGTGAGCACCGCCAGGAGTAATTCCTGAGTGCAGAGCCAGGAGTAACCCCTGAGCATTGCCAGGTGTGACCCAAAAAGCAAACAAACAAACAAAATAAAGCCCCAGAAAATACAAAAAGATAATCGGGGCTGGAGCAATAATAGCACAGCGGTAGGGTGTCTGCCTTGCATGCAGCTGACCCGGATTTGATTCCCAGCATATGGTCCCCCGAGCACCGCCAGGAGCAATTAGCAATTACTTTTTTTTTTGCCGGGGGGGGGGGGGGGGGTTGGGTGGGGAGGGGGAGGGGGTCACACCCGGCGATGCTCAGGGGCTACTCCTGGCTTTGCACTCAGGAATCACTCCTGGCGGTGCTCAGGGGACCATATGGATGCTGGGAATTGAACCCGGGCCGCCCGGTGCAAGGCAAACACCCTACCCACTGTGCTATTGTTCCAGCCTCCCCAGGAGCAATTCCTGAGTGCAAAGCCAGGAGTAGCCCTTGAGCATCACTGGGTGTGCCCCAAAAAGAAAAAAAACAACAACAAAAAACATCAACAAAAACATTTCTTCCAGTCCCAAGTGCTGCCTTAGTGAAGGACAGCGGGGACATTCATGCCACTGATGCCTCTTCCACAGCCTAGAGGTATTTTTCCCCCCCAATTAAAGAACTGTGATTTGCAAAGTTATTGATAGTTGAGTTTTAGGCATACTTGAACACCAATCAACACTACCAGTGTCAACCTCCCATCCACCAGTGTTCCCATATTTCCTTCCTACTCCCAACCCTCGCCCCACTCCTGCCTGCCAACTTGACAGGCTCTTTGGAAGTTCCAGTGGTCGCAGCTGAGATCTCATGTTTTCAGTGTTATTAAGTCTGTTTGCTAGTAGCTAGACAGTTACACCCACCAACTGCTGTGTAACCCCATCAATGGCCATCCAGAGACTATAAAACCAAGCTCCCGGAAGAGAACAAGGCAGAGTCTCCTGCCCCCGTGCCTGGCTGTCCTCACCAGGGCCCCTTGGAGGAGGGCGGGTTGAGTTTCCCTCTCCATCCCGAGCAGAGCCCCGACAGCTGAAGACCTCCGTGACCCAGCCAAAGCCATGCTGAGACCACTCTCCACACGCTTGGATGAGGAACCGGCAGAGGAACCCAGGTGTGCGGGACCTGGGGCTGAGATCTCCAAGTCTGCTTGGTTCGGGACTGGGACTCCTCCACCCAGCTCCTCCACCTTCCAGTAGCTAGACAGTTACACCCACCAACTGCCGTGTAACCCCATCAATGGCCATCCAGAAACTACAAAACCAAAATCCTGGAAGCGCGTGGCCGCATTTGCGGCCGCGACCCCTTATTCTCTAGTTCTCACTCTCAGAGAACCCAGCAGGCTACTGAGAGTATCATACCCGCCTATATGCCTGACTAGGAACACCTGTAAAGGTGATTAGAGGCTGCCCCCAAAGCTTCCATCCGTCTCAGAGAGCCCAGCAAGCTTCCAAGTATATTCTGCCCGTATGGCTGAGCCTAACAAGCTACCCGTGGCGTACTTGATGTCAAAAACAGTAACAATGAATGGTTCTCTTTCCCCTGACCCTGAAGGAGCCCCCAATATGTCATCGGGCTACACCTGCACGTGACAGGGACGAATGGAGATGTTACTGGGCCCGCGCGAGAAAATTGAAGAACAACGGGGTGATAGCAATAGTGATAAGTCTATTTGGATAAATGGCTATAGCATTCACCTGTATTACCAGTATAACTGAAATCCTGATGCCTGATTTTGGCCAATTTAATTCTGCTGTCTGAGATTTGGTTCAATCCTCCCCTTCTCTGGCAAGCACAGAGAAAAGGCCTCTCTGTTCCTTTCTGTGGGCTTTTGAAAAAGGCACTGACAACTTGATCTCAACCCACAGTGCCGACCAACTGCTGCTTCAGTGTTCTCAGAGGTGCCTGAGTTCGCCAGTGAGCATGTGTGTACTTGCATGTGTGTATGTGTGCATGGGTGCAGGAACATGTGTGAACGTGTGCTACATGCATGCATGTGTACATGTGCGTATGTGCGTGTGTGGTCTCTTAGAGAATGACATGAGTGTCATGCGTTTTCCAGGGTGTGGATGTTCTGCAAGGTTAAGAGGTTTTGAGATAGATCAGCAAGCCTTGGAGTGTGCCCTGACTTTCCTGTTTGTGTAACTAACCACATGGCTCTGTCAAGTCTTTTATTCTTTCCAGGTCTTGGTATTCTCATCTGTAAAATGGATAGCCCTTACACCTGACCTGAGGATCAAAGACTGATGTAATCCACAATGAATCTTCAAACCTGCAAGTCACATAGGCTTTCTCCTACCCTTGGTCTCTCCTGCGCCCCTCGCAGCTTCTGGGCAAGAGGGGGTCAGCCCTCATCCTTCATCACAGCCTGAGGGAGGGGCTAAGAGGAATGGTGAGGTGGGTCGTCAGCTTTCCCAGTTCAAACCAGCTTTTCTCAGAGTGATGAGCAAGAAAGGGTGGTGGCATGGCCCTCAACCGGGTACCTTAAAGAAGCTTTTCATCTCAGGTCCTCTGAGTTCCTCTTCTGTGAAAACATGCTCAGCCCCCAGGTTCTTCAGTCTCTGGGTCAGCTTCTGGAGGTCGGGTCTGGAAACCAAACAGAGCCAAGGTCCTTGTTCATAACACAGGGGCGTTTTCTCCATCAATGCTCCTGGAGACCCTGTGTGGAGCTATTAGGCCTGAGGGAAGCTGGGGCCTGGGGTGAGCCCGGCCTTGGGCAGGACCAGCAGCCTCTCTAGGGATCATCTGTGCCCAGGGAGAAATCACTTTACTACTGTAGGGACCAACTCTCCCCCGTCCCCCGCAACTTTTCTAGAAGTTGTGCAGAGCATTGTGCAGACACATGCCAGCCCTGGAGTGGCTATGGGCTTGCTGGCCAGGGCAGAGAGAACGCTTCCTGTCAGCGAGGACAGTTCTCCTTGAGACTGGCCTTCCATGATCGATGTGGCCACGGTGGACAGTGATGCTTACTGGAACGATGTGAGGGAAAGAGGTCTAGTCAGGAGAATCAGTCTGTTCCTGACCTGCTGCATGTCTCTCTGAAACTACAGCTTCCCCATCCAGGAGAGAGATGAGAGGCCCACCCCACCTTCTTCACGTAGTATGGTCGTGCCCGTCAGCCATCACTCAAATGCAAGGGGCAAGGTCCTTGTGTCAGACCTTAGAATGCTCCCAAATACGACAACCGACAACCGTGGTAATGAAAACATGAGGCTATCACGTGTCTCTTAGCTGTTCAAAAAGGCTGTCTTTAACTCTTGTGTTTCCAAGTCTCGCTCATCCTAAAACGGACCTGGACTCTTTCCCGGGCTGCCTGACTTCCTGAGGATTATGCAAGGGCGCCACCTAGTGGAGATGTGGGCACCGGCAGGCCTGCGAGCCAGGGCTCCAGTCTGGGTCTGGGGTAAGGCCCTCCATCCATCCCGCGCACCTGTCTCGGACCACATTGATGGTCCTCAAGCCCAGGGCTGCGGCGATCTGGATGACCGCTTGCCCCACTCCACTGTTGGATGCATTCTGGATGACGGAATCTCCTGTGAGGCAGAAAGAGACCCACGTGAAGCTGTTGCAATCTCTAATAGGAACTCAGGGGGCTGGATAGAGTACAGCGGGTAAGGCACTTGTCATGCATGTGGCTGACCTGGGACCCCTAGGATTCCCTGAGCCCTGCCAGGAGTGACCCCTGAGCACAGAGCCAGCAGCATCTACTGAGTACCACTGGGTGTGGCCCAACACTCCTCCCCTCCTCATCTCAACTCTCCCCTCCTCCCAAAGATAGCTCCTAGGCTAGAAACTTGCAAGGGATATCCTGCAAGGGATGGTGTTTGCAGGATATATAGGGAGCCAGGACCTGGCTCTGACCTTCTCAAGACCTTGGAGTGTAGTTCACTCTTATTCCAAATGCCTGCAAGACCCACAGGGCCTGCCGGGATTTCCAACTTGGGAGTCCCCAATGGACATAATTTGCACCACTTTGTGTGAATGATCGATGTCACCTGTTATCCCCACAGATTTCAAATCTCCAAGCTCTGTTGAGGTTATGCCCTCGGCAGTATTTCACATGCCCCCACCCGCCTCCTTCTGAAATCCTGTGGCTCCATCAGAGCGCAGCTGAGGACAGCTTTCTCCCTTCCATACTGTCCACCTCTGGCACTGCATAAGGTCCCCCCGAGCTCCACCAAGGGTCACCCCTGAGCACAGGGCTAGGAGTAAGGCCTGAACATCACAGGGTGTGCCTCCTCCCCAGCCCCGATCACCTCCTTTCAAAAAGAAGAGCTAAGATCGTGCATCCATCTAGCCCAGGTGACACCCACCTGGGGCACCCTGGGCACCTGAGGAGTCAACGCCCCAATGTGCCCTCTCGGACAGCTGCAGCTCAGCCCAGAGGAGACCTGAAGGTGACCAAAGTATCAGTCACATCAGGACCTGAGTGAAGGTCCTTTGTCTCACCTATGGGTCTTCCCCACCACAGGTTCATCTCATTGCTTTGCCACGATTTTGAGAATACGCTTGAGTGTCCCGAACAGGGGCCGGTCACCAAAAGGCCTGGTTCTCCCTATTCCTGGCCTCAGTCCACACGGGGATATTGGAGCTGCGTTGGGGGTTTCTATACTCCTGTGAGCTCAGAGAGGCACAGCGGGGAACGAGAATCGGGTAAGTGGCCGATTCTGGTAGAGGCTAATTTAGTTCTCAACATGGGGGTGGGGGGGGCACACTTAGTGGTCTGTGGCGGGCGTGTAGTGCCAAGGATCAAACCCAGCCCCACACACAAGGAAGGCATGTGGCTCTACCACCTGACCTACCTTCCCAGCCCCAGAAGACAACTGAGAGGTAGATAGTCCTGCCCTCACCAGCAGGCCTGTGGCCTGACAACCTCCACTGCCTTTTCCTCAGCCCCAACTCTTGCTTCCAGGGGTCGGCCCCCAAGAGATCTGTCTGTCCCCAGTCAGTCTTGCTCTCAGCTCTGCACTCAGTGGAGCTGCAAACTGAACCCCAGGCTGCACTGTCATGCTACTCAATGCCAGGGGATTAGAGAGTCCAGTTCACAGGGCAGTGAAAAGACTGAAGCTGTGCTTTTTTTTTCCCCCAGGGGGTGGGAAGTCTACACCCCATGTGGTGCTAGGAGGCTGCTCCCAGCAGTGTTCAGGGTACCATGTGGTACCAGAATTGAACCTGACACTCCAGCATGTAAAGCCCACGCTTTGGGCCATCTCCCTGTACCAGGGTGTCACCAGTTAACCAATGCGGTGACTTCACAATTCGGTTTTGGAGATGGATTGCATCCTATGGGTCTGATGCTTGTGAGGGCACTTCCAGAGACCAGGAAATGCTACAGATCGCTGAGCAGAGGAATTACCAACACTAAATTCAGCATCTTACCTGACTTTGAATTCCCAGAGCTTAGCACAGATCAATGTTTTGTTGAAGGAGAGGCATCGCCACCCCTCTCCCCCAAGATCCTCGGTGAGTGACTATCAAGAGTGTAGTCCACGGGAGGTTCCGCATGTTGTCTAGGTCAAAGGTCTCCCTGGGGCAGGGGACAGTGGACACTCACTGTCTACTGCCTTGGTTAGAGCTTGCCAGTCTGTAGACCAGCATGTAGGACCACTGGGGCGAAAGGATGAAGGTCGCTGGTCTAGAAACCAAGCCCATTTCCTTCTGCTATAAGCAGCACTCCCCGCTCCCCATTTACCCCCAGTCCCCCTTAGGGACCTGGCCTCAGGGCCTGGGTCTGGGCCACGTACAAAGGAGATCCTGGCCTGCCCACCCCTCCGCTGGACCCTGACCCTACCTGGCCGCAGCTGCTCGAAGTCCTTCAGCATCCGGTAGGCTGTGCAGGGGTTGACGCCCAGCGTGGCAGCACTCTGAAGAGGGATGTCACTCGGGACTCTGATCAGTGCTTCCTCCCTGAACACAGCCTCGGTCCGCCAGGTGCCTGGGCAGGGGGAGCGCAGGCTGCTGAGGATCTCTCTCTGCAGGGAACGGGCACCCGGGCACCTGACTTCAGCAGTACTCAGAGAAAACTGTTCTTTTGTTTTTTGAGGGGCTGTTGGGCCACATACGACGTATTCACAAGCTTTTCCTGGCTCTGTGCTCAGGAGCACTCGAGGATGGAACTAGGGTTGGCAGGATGTGAGACAACTGCCGTCACCCTTGTATATCTCTTTGCCCTCTGCCTCATCCCCTACCCACTTCTTAAATTTTTTCTTGGTTTTGGGGCCATGCTTGGCCGTGCTCAGGACTTACTCCCGGCTCTGCACTGAGAGATAACTCCCGGTGGGTCGCAGGGAACATGTGCTCTGGAGTCTACAGGGTTCTGCTGGGGGGGGGGGGGGGGGGACAGGGGACTGCTGAAGCTATGGGCGGCAGAAGAGGGAAAGCAACGTGGGTCTAGGGGCCTGGAATGGGGACCAGGAGGTGGGGCACTCTTCATTAAAGGGTGCGTTTCTGCTAGGGTAGGCTGTGGCTGGGAAAACGAGAGGCAGAAAAATGGAAGAATCCCTTTAGAATCCAGAAGATGACCTGGCATTCTCTGGGCTGGTTTTCCAATTTCACTGCTTCCATCACAGCCATCGCCCCCATTCATATTGGCCAACGTGTGCTCCACTCTGTTCAGATGCTCAGTGTGCATGAAGCCAAGGGCATTTTCCAATACCCTGAATGGCACAGCCACAGAGACCCAGGCTCGGGCAGGGTAACCCTCTGCTGCGAGAGCCTGGCTACAGGAGGGGCAGTGCATGAGAGGCCCAAGTCCTCTCAGAGTGGAGGGCCGGTTGGGGTCAAAGGTAAACCCAGGCATCACACAAACAAAGCATGAGCTCTCCCTCCGAGCTTTCTCCCTGGTGGTGCCTTGCTGGTATTTTTTGTTTGTTTTTAAAGTAGAAACACTGAGATTTTGGAGTTGGGGGATGGGGGGGGGGGGAAGAGAGAGAGAGAGAAAGAGAGAGAGAGAGAGACCTGCTTAACAAAACCCAACTCTGCCACTCAGTGGTGTGACTTAGAATTATCACTTCACCTTGAGTGTCAGTTTTCCTGATCTACGAAATGCAGAAAATAACACTCACGTCAGGGTGTGAAGACAATCTCTGACATTCGTACAGACTCCCGGCATCACAGGCATGCAGCCCCCTGGGTCTCCAACCCCCAGGCCCTGCCTGGCTCTGAGGACCACCCTGGCACACTCTATCGCCTACGGCAGAGGCCGGCAAGTGAGGGGCCCGGAGCCAGCTCCGGTGCTCTGTCTGCCTTTATACAGAATTTGCTGGCATGGGGCCAGGCTGCTTTCTTAGTGCTGCTACGATCACTGGCAGAGGAGAGCAGAGGTGGCGACAACCGGGAGAGTCCCAGGCATTTACCAGCTGACCCCTTGGTGGGCAGAAATGCAGTGAGTGCAGAGAGCACTGTGGGTCTTGGTTGGGTCGCACGAATGTGCTGATATGCAGGTTAGGCCTGCTAGCTCCATTTCAGAGATGAGGAGACTGAAGGTTAAAGCAGCTATGGCTTCAGCAAGATCACGCAGGCGAAATGGAAAGAAAAGCCGTGACTGACTCCCAAGCCAGGGCCCTTCCTGTGGCTCCTGCTGCTGCTCAGTTCCGAGAACATCCATGGGCAGAGATGCAGTCGCCTTCTGCGGCTCTGGGGGAGGTGGGGGCATGCTGGAACAGCTGGGCAGCTCCACACCGTGAGAAATGACCCGGATCTGGCCCACTGAGGACTTGCCTGCCTAATGACTGCCTCTCCCTCTGAGGCAAACGCTTCGTGAGAAGGAAGAGCACGTCTTCGAGTGCGAAGAATATGCCAGAGCCCAGCATGCTGCAGATGCTCACAGAATGTTTACTGAATAATTGAGTTAATTATAGTCCCGACAATGATAAAATCTTCATCCTCTCTGACTGGCACCTGGTTCCAAAGACTCCTTTTCTCCAGGGAGAAAAATCCTGTCTGGCTACCGCCACCACCACGCACAACTCACCCCCATGCCTGCACACTCCTTTACTCTTGCTCTTCAGACTCCCAAGTTCTGCTACCTAGCTCTGGAAACCGTCTTTTCGGCTTGAGTCCTATTTAAACTTGCATCCCCTGAAGCTGGGTGTGCTCGGCCACCTCTTTCCTGACTTTCTGCTCTGCCATCGGTCTTCATGGCACACACCTGACCCAGTCGTTCCCCTTAGCCATCCAAGGTCTTGTCTGACCTGGGTGGGAGCCCTCTGAGACTGGTCCACCTCTCTCTCTCTTCTTCCCAGTCATGCCTCTGCCCAGCTCCTGCCCGGAAGCCTTGCCACCTTGCCTGGTGGCTGCATGCCTGCTCAGCCTTCTGGTTAACTTGGAGCATCCTCTCCCTGGAGGCCTCTGCTAGTGCTTCCCAGGCAAGGGACCTCTTGCCTCAGTGTCCACCTGTGCCTGCGGACTTTCACAGCAGTGTGGAAAGTGTTACCTTTCCAGCCAAGAGCACTTAGAGGGCAGGGGCAGGCTGGCATCTGACCCACCCTGCATGCCCTTCACTCAGCACGGGGCCTGGCTCAGAGTACCAGTCTGTGCCTGCTGAACCCTTCCAGCACCGTCTGCATGCAGGGTGCAGTGCTCCCTGCCAGCTGGCTGCGAGTGGGGGGGTGTTGGGGGGAAGCAGAGAGGGGGGAGAAGGAGGGGCAGCTTCTTGGCAGCTTCCCTGTCGGCAGACAAGAAAAGGGCTTTTGTCCTTTCTGGGAGTCACTTAATGTTTTTTTATTTTGTTTTGTGGCCACACCCGGCAGTGCTCAGGAATGTTGCTCCTGGCTCTGCACTCAGGAATCAATCCTGGTGGGCTCCGGGACCCTATGTGGTGCCAGGGATTGAGCCCAAGTCAGCTGTGTGCAAGGCAAGTGGCCTCCCCTGCTGTGCTATTTCTTTCTAGCCCCCACTAATTGGACACTTAGGATAATAACAGTGGGACCCCTTGATAAAGGACACATACCCTAGTGGTTCCATACCCTTCCTGCCTCCCCTTGTGCTGTGAAGCCTGCTGGGGACCTCAGGCCTCGGTACTATCCTCACCTTCTTGGTTGTGGTGCTCAGTGGGGTTGCATACTTGGTGGCAGTGTTCGCACCTGGCTGACTGTAGTGCGCTGGAGATCGTGGCCCTGGAGCAGTGATGGGATCACACTGGGAGACGTGGGGACGAGGGGGTGCTGGGGAATGAACACGCGGACTCACGCGTGCATGGCAGGAGCACTACTGCTGAGCCACATCCCTAAGGCCCCCGTGAAGAGCTTCTTGTAAACTTCTCACTGGCTTTCTGGCTTTGTCTCCTAAGTGGTGCTGAGGGGACCCAGGGGCTACTTCCGGTGATACTTGCGCAACATGTTGGATGGGTCAGCCTGAGGGTTTGTGGATGTGGTGCTGCTCAGGCCCTGCAGAGCTGGTGAGCACCATGGTCACACACCATTGCGAGGAGTGCAGTGTGTGTGGGGGTGGGTGGGGGGATGGACTCCAGAGCCATAATGGCAAGCGGTGCTCAGGGGCCTGTAGGGCCATAACTGGCAGTGCTCAGGAGCTGTAGGGTCATACGTGGGTGTTCTCAGGGACTTACAGGGTCAAACCTGGCAGTGCTGGTAGGGCCCTGTGGCACCTGGGCCCTTGCCTACTACCCTTCTCTTCCTGGAACTGCTCCTTCCAAACTTCTGGGTGTTAGCCACAGCCCTCTCTCCCCATCTCTATATCCCAGAGGTGAGCAAGAGAGTCGGGGGGGGGGGCAACAGGAGTGGCCCCCACCGGGCTCCTGTGACTGAGTCCCAGGTGGGCCAGGATCTGGCAGGGCGAGAGGGAGTCCTTCTGGGGAGTGAGATGGTTGTTTTGGATGAGTCTAGAGGCTCATTTGTTTGTCCTCAGAAAGACAGAAACCACAGACACCAACTGCCAATGGGCAATGTTATACAACAGACGGCATTAGAATCTTTTTTTTTTTTTGGATCACACCTAGCTTTGCTCAGGACTTACTCCTGGCTCTGTGTTCAGGAAACACTCCTGGCAGGTTCAGGGAACCGTATAGGGTGCTGGGGATTGAACCTGGGTTGACCGCACGCATAGCAAGTGTCCTACCCATTGTACTATCACCCCTAATCTCAGCTCCACAACTCAACTAGCAGCATGGCCTTGGTTGGGCAGTTCCTTTATCTTTCTATTTTCTGTCTCATATGCACAATGGGAATCATAATAGTACCTACCTAGTGTGTAGGAATAATTGAGCTCATAAATATAAATAAGTGTCTGGGTGCACACACATATAAATATATACATATGTATGTATATATATGTGTTGGTGTAAGGAAATAGTTGAGAGATTGCATAAATAAGAAAAAATTGCTATCTTGGGTGGACCTTTGCCTGAAGCTTTCTGTGACTTGCATCTAAGTTCTACAGACCAATTAACTTCCTTTTTTTTTAAAAAAAAATGGGGAGGGCACATCAGTGATACTCATGGCTTACTCTTGGCTCTGCACTCAGGAATTACTTCTAGTGGTGCTTGGGGTCCATATGGGATGCTGGGATCAAACCCGGGTCAGCTGTGTGCACGCAAGTGCCCTACCCACAGTACTATCCCTCGAGCCCCAAGCTTCCTTTTATTGTTAAGAAGCTTGCACAGACTCTCAAGGTTTGGACCCAGCATATCCTAATGCAGAAAAATGTAGCAGGCAAGAGTCTGGCAAGCTCTCTTTCAGCCTGCTGTTGGAATGTGGGCAAGGGCTACTGCTCAAGCTTGGTCCTTTCACGTCCAGAGGGCTGGATTTCAACTCTGCTTCCCTCCCATAGCTGTGGTCAGTAATCCTATACATGTTTGGGTCTCGAAAACCATCAACTGCTAAATCACCAAAACTCACCAATGATGCTTTACCCTATATTAAATAAATAAATAAATAAATAAATAAATCCTAACCCTTGCTTGGCCTCTGCAGCTCCCCCCCCTAACAACGGTGGTCCCATGGCCTTTATGGCTTCCATCCTCACTGCTGCAACTCTCTGCCCTGTGCAAGACTACACTCTGGAGGCTACACTGGATTTCCTGCTACTACCCAAACTCACTTTTTCTTTATCTCATTTTATTTCCTCCAAATGCAAGGATCTGGGCTCTTGACCATCTAACCAAGATGTTAAAGGTCCATTCTAGGAGCTAGTTTAGTGGCTAAAGTGCCTGTTTCGTAAGTATGAGGCCTTGAGTTCAGACCCTGGTCCTGAGCATGATCCAAGCGGCTCTGCTGTCTGAGGTCACTGGTGCCACAGCTGATTCTGGCCATCCTGCATCCAGGTGAGTGCGAGTCCTGTGATGAAAGGGTGTTATTCCTGGCGAGCACTGTGACCAAAACAGATGCACGAGCACTGTGGCCAGGAGTGGGCTCCCAGCAGCAGAACAACTAGAGTGTTGGTGGTGCATGTGGTATACAGTAACATTTATCTGCCTAAAGCATAAATATTAACATTACTGTAAACCGTGTTACCTCAATTAAAAAAAAAAGATTTATCTCCAAAACTGTTTTGGTGTAATGCGTTTTAGTAATAAAATTTACCCAGTGTGCTTAAAAATAATTTAAGCACAGTTATAGTACTGTGGGTAGGGTGTTTGCCTTGCACACGGCCAACCCGGGTTCAATCCCCGGTATCCCATATGGTCCCCCAAGCACTTCCAGGAGTAATTCCTGAGTGCAGATCCAGAACTAACCCCTGAGTATCGCTGAGTGTGCCCCAAAAAGATAAAAAGAGAAAAAAAAAGAAAAAAAATTAAAAGAGTATAACTTTAGGGAGCACTGCAACTTAAAGTGTGTCACCCCCAGTCCCTGCAACATCCGCAGAAGGAAGGCAAGGGGGAAAGAAAAGATTCTCGGATCAGAGAGAGAGCACAGAGGTTAAGGCATTGCCCAGCATGTGGCTGTAGCCACAACCCTGTTTCAAATTCCGGCACCTCATGGTCCCCCAGTACTACCAGGTGTGTCCCCTGAGCATGGAGCCAGGAATAGTCCCTGAGCACCGTTGGGTATGATCCCCAAATAAACAACAACAACAAAAAGACAAAGAGTCTTCCCAATGAATTCTACTCAGTCAAACCATCTCCGTAATACATGGAAACACCGGCATGCCCTCTGACTCATGCGGGCTTGGAGCACTCCCTTCACTCAGGCTTTTGGGTTGAGGTTTCTTAATTAGTTTTTGGATTGAAAAGAACCTGCTGGAGGGCAAGAGGTGACTTATTTGTATTCCCCATTACCCCTTAGAGTCTTAGGGGGACAGGGGTTCAGAGAATCACAGCTCCAATCCACAGGGGCCGGAGAGGACCCCGGACCGTGACCACCTCCAGAGCAGACAAAACAGAGCTTCCTGTATTCAGTTCTCACCCCTTCCAGGGCAGGTTTATTATCTCAATACACAAAACCCCACCCGGCATGGCTTAGGCACAGCAAAGAGCAAATTGGACAGTGTTGGTGAAACAGGACCTGGAACCAGGAGTGGCAGCAGACACCCGGGGAAACTCACCCAAACCGGCATTGGCTGGAATTACCCAGTCCCCCGGCTTCAAGCCAGTCACGTCGCTGCCCACTGCTTCCACCCGGCCAACGCCTTCATTCCCTCCAACGGCAGGGAGCTCGGGAAGGAGGCCATAATTTCCTGAGGGAGAAGAGCACGGAGGGTCAGTCAAGCAGGCCCGGGGAGTGAGTGAGCATCAGTGTTGGAGTCCGAGCCAGTGTGGCCGCTGTCCTAGACCAGAGTGTGGCTGAGGCCCCCAGGAGCCTTCGCTTCTCTGGCAGCGAGGGGGACGCCCTCCAAGGAGTCTCTGGGTATTAAGAGCATGGGGGCGGGGGGGGGGGGCGGCAAACGGATCAGTGCATAGTGGCACAGGCTCTCCATGGTGGGTGCTGTCCCCGCAAATGCCATCTCCCCAACTCTCGACAGCCTCACATTCCAGAAAGGGGCCCCCCACCCCCACCCTGCAGGGCTCACAGTCTGCAGACGCCTCATCTGGAGAACAGCTGCTGCTAATCACAGGAATTTCACACCCACACCTGAGGAGGAATGAAAATGAGGTGGCGGCTGAGCAAAAGAGCCACTTGGCATAAGCCGAGGAAACCAAGGTTACCTTGGATCATATTTATGTCAGATGGATTGATAGGGGCTGCCAGCATCTTCACACGGACGTCCGATCCGCCCATAGCAGCTAGCTCCTGGTTCTTCAGTCTGAGCACAAAGCCAAAGAGAGATGTTAGCGTCACCCAGGCCAGACAGGCCGCCTTTCACTCAAATCATCTCCCCAAAGTAGGTCAGGTAGCGACTGTTCTGAGCAGCTGCTATTGTGTGCCCAGGAATTAGGGTTCTGCTAGGAGAGAGAGGGGAGGAATCAGCCCGGACACACGTTAACCCTTTCAGTAACGGGGGTGGGGAGGGGATGCCTCTCAATCTCGTTTCTTACGCCGGGATAGAAAACCTTTCATTTCTTACACTGGGATAGAAAACAGTGAAATCTCTGCCTGCTGGATTTGCCTCCTGTTTCCTCAAACTTGCTGATGATGAGAATCACATGGGCGGCCGGCAGATGGTACAGTAGTTAGGGCACATGCTTAGCAAGCACCTGACCTGAGTTTGAACCCCGGCACAGCATGGGCCTCTGAGCACCCCCAGATGCAGCTCTGGAGGCCCCCAGCACTGCTGGGGTGGCGCTGGACTCCTGCCACCACAGGGCCTGAGCAGCAGTGCATCCCCGGGCCCCTGCACTGAACTGCTGGCCTGGCTGGCTGAGAGTCACCAGGGGCCTCCTGAGCACCATCTGGGAGGTCCCCCCTGAAAAAAAAAAAGCAAGGAATCACATGGTATGTCTGCTAACCATCCAACTCTCAGGGCCCCAATCTCGTGCTGAAGCAGCATCTTCAGAGAAGGGTCCCCAGGTGGCTCTTCATATTCACATGCTCTCCACTGTCTGCACTCATGCACACAGGGAAGAGGCAACACTCCTGTTGTCACACACCGGGATAGGGAACACAGAGATGGTTGGTGGGGTGTGGAAAGGACCCCCTGGGTGACTGTGCTTCATCCCGGGAGTGGGGACCAGCCAGTTGGGAAAGACCTAGGAATGGAGAGCTGCTGCCCTTAGATGGAAGGCTGTCCCTCATGACAGCTGCGTTACTGGGAATTTCTCCTTCCACTTGGATTTTAGGGGCCATGCCGTCACAGCCATTCAGGAACTACGCTACGCAGATAGGGCCATACACACAGGGGCCATGCTATGCAGACAGAGCCATACACACAGGGGCCACAATGTGCAGACAGGGCCCTGCAGTGGCTGCAAGGTATCAGACATGGCCCTGAAGTAAGGTGATCAGCGCTTCCTGAGTGATGTCACCTTTTAAACATTTTCTATTAGTATAGTCTAGGTAACAGGGTTGTAAGAGTGTTAACAGTCAATGATGGAAGGGCTTTTTAAAACAAAAACAACAAAAAATCAAAGAGGGTCCTTGGGACCCTAACAATCCTTTTTCTCTACACCCTCAGACTTCATGTCTGCACGCTTTTCTCTGCCCAAACGTACCTGTTAAATACTAATTCTCATCTTCACTCACCAGCCTCAGACAAGTGCTGCTCTAGGCTGATAGGATGATGCCATCTACTTCCTGCAGAAATCTGACCTTTTTTGTTATACCCAGGTCTCCATGTTGGGGCAAGAATCATAGTCAAGAAAAGCCTTGTGCTCACTGTAATCAAACATAGTGGCAGGTTTTAAAGAGGGATTTAATACAGACATGTCTGTGCAGGGGCCACTAACGGCATGATCTGACAAAGCTGTAACGAACTCTCGCGTGAGGAAAGCGTCAGAATTCCTCTCATCAAAGAGGCCATGAAGGCTCCAGGAGCGTCAGGGACAGTGGGAATCTAGCCAGTGGCAGGGCTGAGCGATCCCCCCAAGTCAACATTCTCATTTCCCTGGGAAATCCCTGGACTTCTATCAGGACCCCCGAGGGCAGGAGCTGAAGAGGCTGGACTGGATCACGGAGGGGAAAAGTAGTGAAAGAGAGACAGAGCCCCAGGAGGGCTCAGAGGCAGAGTACCAGCTTAGGAAGCATGAGGCCAAGAGTTCGATCCCCAGCACTGCCAGCCCTGCCCCCCATGGTTCCAGCAGCACTGTCATCCAAGATTCCTTGGCATCATAACAAAATGTGCCATCCTGGGTCTGGGATATGGCTCAGAGATAGGGCAACTGCATTGCATGCGTGAAGCCCTGGGTTCAACCCCTGGTACCACACACACACACATACACACACAATCTCCTCTTGTACCGCAGCCAAGTGTGTGTATAGATGGCACAACAATAAAGAACGTGAAGAATGGAATGCAATCAAGTGCACAATTCCCTGTCATCACAACAAGCCAAGACAGAAATGTTCTCTGCAGATAATGGTTAACTAGAGAGGAGCTGATGACCAGACCAGAGAATAAAGGGCTTTCAACAAACAGGTAAGTATGAGGAAATGCGTGCATTATTCACAGCTGGAGGGGTGGATGCCTTGTAAGAATAACTACCGTCTGAGTGCTTACCAGTCAGGCACTCTGCACTATGTGCTTTCCATGCCGGCTTTTGTGCTATTATTCTGATCTTAGAGCTGAGGAACAAAGGCACAAAAGCGGTAAATAACTTGCTCAAGGCCACCCAAAGCACTAAGTGGTTGATCTGATTGGAACCTGGCAATTCAAACCTGACACTAGAGAAGCCAAACACAGTGAAGGAACTGACCCCACACCAAGCGGAGGGCAGTGAGATGAACCCCAGCCCAGAGGGGTGCGGGCTTGATCTTCATGGGCTCAGCAGCGGGGGAGAAGGAGAGGCAGGAAGGGCTATGGGCAGGCACAGCAGGCAGGCAGGCAGGCAGGCACGGCAGACAGAGCCGTTACTCCATGAATGTGCAGAAGGCTGCATCCCTGAGAAAGCGCCTGCCAGTGAGCTGCGGATGCTAGTACCCCCCTGGTCCCCAGATCCCTCTCCTGTGTTTGTCCCTGCAGACATGCTCTTTGCTCAGCCAGCATTTCTTTTCTACAGCATCTCATGAAGTGAGAAATTCAGTCCAATCTTTAAAACCAGCTCAAATCTGACCTCCCCTGAGACATCTCTTTTGTTTTTAACCTGGTGATGCTCAGGGGTCACTCCTGATTCTTCACTCAGAAATCACTCCTGGCGGTGCTCAGGGGACCATATGGGATGTCAACCTAGGTTGGCGCGTGAAAGTTGTGTGTTACCCACTGACCCCCAACTCATCTTTTGATGCTCTTATTGGCCCTAACAATATCACTTGCTTCATTCTCAGTGTTCTCAGTACACAGCAGGGGCTGCTGATTGAAGACCATCTCACAGTTCATTGTTTTGTAAACCTTTTGGTTTTGTGGTTTTTTTTTGTTTGTTTGGGGGCCACACCTGGCAATGCTTGAGTCTTTTTATTTATATATTTATTTATTTTTGCTTTTTTTGGGTCACACCCAATGATGCTCAGACCTTACTACTCCTAGTTTTGCACTCAGAAATTACTCCTGGTGGTGCTTAGGGGACTGTATGAGATGCTGGGGACCAAACCTAGGTCAGCTGTGTGCAAGGCCCACCCACCAAACCATTGCTCAGGTCCCAATGCTTGGGATTTAGTGCTGGTTTTGCACTCAATCACTCAATTACTCAATCACTCCTGGTGGGCTCTGAGGACTATATGAGGTCCCAGGGATCACACCCAGGTCTGCTGTGTGCAAGGCAAGTGCCCAATCCACTGTGCTATCACTACAGGCCCAGTTCATTGCTTTTTAGCTTAAGAAGTCTTTCTACGAGCGTTTTCAATCGACTGCCAGGCAGAAGTTCCTTTTCCAAAATCCTTGGGCCACACACACTCCAGGGGTCGGAACCATGTACTGTCCACACCCACTGGCAATTGGGGTGGGAGGCACTCTCATTAGACGGTTTCTGCAGCAAAATGCATGCCTATTCACACTAAGTGGGATGAATCACAACCATTTAAAAACTTCTTGTGAGATCAGGCTCTTGTCTCCATGGGAATTATGGAAGTAAAATCTGTCAAGTGTTTGGAGCTTTCTGGATTTTGGAGCTGTAGAGATGATATTGGTGAAGAGCTGGGGCTTTCAGCTCTGAGTTCACTGCCTTCTTACTTAACACCTGGTTTTAGAGTCAGAATGTGAGTGTGTGTGTGTGTGGTACTTCCTTAATGGATTGTGATTTCAAGGAGGGCAAAGATCTTCTAGTTTCATTTTGGTTTGGGGGCCTTAACTGGTGGTGCTCAGGGGTTACTGTGAAACTCTATGCTTGCTTGGGGATCACGCTCAGCAGTGTGTGGGGGACCTTGCATTGCTGGGGACTGAACCCTGAGTTGTAAAGCATGTGCTCAGCCCCTTGAGCTATATCTCTGGATTCTGAACTTTTAGTCTTTTTTAACTAAAAAAAAAATTTTTTTTTTTTTGATCCACAGCACGCTGTGCTCAGGGATCACTCCTGGTGGGGCTCAGGGGACCATACGGATTGCTGGGGATCAATCTCAAGTCAGTGCAAGGCATGTGCCCTATCCATTGTACTATTATTCTAGTACCTGAGCTCTTAGTCCTAACTCAGTGGCCAGGATCAAAACAGTGTTTCAGAATGTTTCCTAGAGAATTATCTAATTTCCTCTCTAGGAGAAAATGTGGCATGAAAGTTCCAGTCATTTAGGGACTCAGGGGAAAGGCTGAAACTAGTCTCAGCTATTGATGCTTGTACTTGTTCTTGGTTCTGGACCATTTAGGAAAATACTACAGAAAGATGGACACAAACAATAACGGAGATTATCCTCCAGAGAGTTTAGCTTAAGCAAAAACCCATGGCACCTCTCCTCACAGAAAAATGCAGATCAAATTAGCAAGGTAAGTATACTTAAGTTGACATGACCGGGGTATGAGTGAAGCAGGTAATGTGCTTGCCTTGCATTGGCCAACCTTAATCTGAATTCCCAGTACCTCATATGGTTCCCTGAGCCCTGCCAGGAGTCATTCCTGATTACCGCGCCAGGAACCCAGTAGCCTTTGAGTGCTACTAGGTGTGGTCCAAATCCCCACCCTGCTCTCCATCCTGCATATCTACATGACCATGGCTGAGATGTTCCTAGATGAAGCACAGCAAGGACTGGAGAGAAACAGGCAGCCTCGGGTTTGACTTGGTCTCTACCAGCCATACTTCAGGATACTACGCTATGAAATGGGGAGAACACTAGAACCCAGGACATGGACTAAATGAGCTCATAAACCTTTGAGGGCGTATCTGATACACAGCAGGTGCTAAAGAAGGGCAGCTGTTCGCAGCACTAAGACGAGCTAAGGAAATGGCTGTTTGTTTGTTTGTTTTTGGTGGGGGTGGTGGAAGCACACATGCCAGTCTGTGCTCAGGACTTACTCTTGGCTGTGCACAGGGATCAGTCCTGATGGATTTCGAGGGACCATCAGGGATGCCAGGGATCAAACCCAGATCAGCCACATGCAAGGCAAGAGGCCAACCCACTCTACTAGCACTAGCACTCTGTACTAGCACTCTGGTTCTAATCGGGTTAGGGGGACCATGGCTTCAGGACCTCACAGATATGAGGTCTATATCACTGAGCTACATCTGTGACCCCCAGAGAGACAATTGGCTGGTTCTGCCTCGGAAAGAATAAACTGAAAAGATTGCAACTTTATTTGGCAAATTCAAGTAAACTGAACAAGTATTTGCTAACAGTCCTACCAAGTGCTGGGGACTCTGCCACAGAGTTTCAAGGTCAAAACACAGCCCAGCCCTGTGCTGAGGAGCTCAGCAGTCACCTGGGGAGATTTTGGCAAGGAGGGCTCAGGGATACGGCTGACCAAGAGTGACAAACAGCAGCAGGACGACCGGGGGAGGAAGGGGATTTCTGAGATAGCATTTGAAGGCTACACAGAGAGTCAAGTAGGCTTTGGGCGGGAGGAGGGGCCAGCAGGGCAGACGCAGAATGGATGGGAGCTATGAGGATGGAGAGAATCCTCCAACCATCTGTAAACCCTTCCATAAGTCATGGCACTGATATCATCAGGTCACCAACATCATGGGGGTGAAGCAGAAGTCTTGGAGGGCGTGCGGGCTTTTGGCGCAGGCATGGGGAGGATGGAGGAACGTGTTTTATGTGGATGTGAAGCAGGTGACAAGCAGGATGGGGTGGAGCAGAGGGTACTGGGGGTTGCACACATCCAGTGCTATGAGTCAGCTGTTCGGAGTCCAAGCACACAAAGGCCTCTGGCGGTGAGCTGGCTGAACAGTTAAACGGCAGCTGGTGTATTTACCTTTCTAAACCCCAGGTGCTGAACGAAAGATTTTACATGATGTTGTTTAGTTCCAGGAATCTCTCCGGAGTGATCACCCCAATGCACAGATAGAAATGGAAGTCTAGAGAACTTCAGCAACTTGTTCAAGCTAAAACTGGCAGTCAACAGTGGGAAAGGGTAAACAGGACTCTAAAAGCTCAGACTCTTGGCCTGACCTATGCGTGTGGGATGGCAAGTGGGGAAAGTCTTGGCATTCCCTAGGGTCCAATACGTTTAGGACAGGTTGTCCACAAGAGCCCCTTTTTAAGCATCAGCCTGTTCACTTAGGCACAAAGACTCTGAGAAGTCCTCCAGTAAGGCAGCCCGTAGCCTGGGTACTGCTGAGTTTCCAGAACATTGCAGACAGGACCTCCATCTTCCCAGAACTCTCTTCCTAGCAGCAGTGGGGCTGCACAGGGAGGTTTCTCCTCCTTCTCTGTCTGCTGGGGAGCCCAGTGCTAGGCAGGGGGTGGGGGTGGGGGATTCGTACCAGGCAGGGGGAGGGAAGGAGACTGGTTAGGGTTGGGAGCTGAAGCTGCAAACAGCGGTGGGCGTAGGCCTGACACTGGCTGTCTACTGGGACAGGTGTATTGGCTCATTTGCATCTCACCAGGGAGATTGGCCCAGTCCTCCCTGTGGAATGCCACCAATATTAGACACTCTGCAGACAGCTCTACGGCATCGTCAAGGAGACTGTTCTGGTGAACCACGAAGGGAAACTGAGTCTGAATTGCGGGCACTGGGCCTGTGGTATCACGAGGGCCATTTTGCCCTGGATTTCCTTTCAAACTCACCCAAGGCACAGTGGCTGCGGGGTAAGAGAGCCAACGAGGCGCCCATGCTGTCTGGCTGGGTCTCAGGTCACCTCCCCGACTGCTCATGTCCTTCCCCTGTGAGTGTCATGGCGCCGCGCAAGTCGGAGGGATGCCACTGTCCTCCTGCGTCAGATCCCAAGCGGGATAAGGTCACAATGGGTCCATTGAGGCCGAGGCCGTACACCTGGGATGCCATATGAACTACAGGGGAGACAAAAGCAGGCAGAAGAAAGGGCCTTTTGAGAGGGGGGAACGAGGCCAACGCTTGGGGGAACGAGCTCAGTTCTATTTGCTGTGTAAGGCAGGAACGGGCCAGCTCTGCCTGCCTCTGTTCCTTGCCTCCCACATTTAATTAGACACAGTTTACACTCATCTCCTTCATCCACTCCATCACCTCACACCCATCAATACCATTTGGAGCAGGAAGGACCTAGTAGAAGACTCACAGGGGACTTTCCACTGGCCGGTATCGAGGCCCTGCAGACGAAGGGCAAGTGGGGGCCTGTTTGATGGGCCCTCCCAGGGGAGGTCTGTCTGCAGTCTCCAGGGTCACAAAGAAGCTGTCTTCTATTTCTGACTGCAAGCCTTGTGTGCTGGGTACATTGTTCAGGGGTTTAATAATTAACAGGTAGAGTACAACTGGGAAGCGGTAGTGTAATGAAGGTTTTCAGTGTTCCTGCAAGGAACGCTGGCGACCTCAAGTCAAGAATGCTGGGCCCACAGGAGAGTTTTGAATTAGCGCAGCTTCCCACCTGTCTCCTCGGGCTGCTGCTCCTCTCCAAAGAATCTTGCTCTCCCATCTTTTAAAATTTTTTTGCTTTGGAGTGTAACCAAGCTGAACTCTGAAGCGTCGAGGCAGGAGTGACTGCTTTGTCCCAGCGACAAACCAGCGGTCAAGACTAGAACCCAGAACAGTGCTCCTTTGGCTGGTCCCCAGTGACAAGTCCCGACTCACAGATGAACCCTTCATCATCTTCGCCTTGCTTTCTACAGTGATGGGGCCAGAGTGGAACCGCCCACAAGTGCTACTGGGCTCCTGGGAGAGCATCTGCGGGAACTAGGCTCTGAGGGTACAGGCAGCAGGCCCCTAGGCGCTGCAGCTCTGGGAGAGAACCCAACTACTGTGCCTCAAGGGTCGCCTCAGAGACAAGAATGGGGAAGTGAGGGTAGCAGGTTTGGCTCTAAACCTTATAGCCAGCGTGGCGTACAGAGGGAGGGCAATGGCATACAAAGGATGAGGACATGGGCTCAAGTCTAAACCCTCTGAATCTGCAGATCCCTCTGCCCCCAGACTTGGACGATATGGTGGGCAGGCGCATGAAGGCACTCAGCCATCAGACACAGACACACAGAGACACACACACACACACACACACACACGCACACACACACACCCCTTCCCCCTACACACCTGGGCTCTTTTCTATACTTTCTTCCTGCATGGCCATTTGGACTTTGGGGACTTGACTAAGTCTTCACAGAAAGCTCTCTCTCACCTCCCAGAGGGGCTCAGGTACTCCCAACACTCTGAAAAGACCCCATCACAGCACTACTCAGCACCAGAAAGCCAGCCCTGGCGATGAAAGAGCACTGAGCTGCACCCTCAGTGCCAGTGCTCGGAGGCAGGGTCCCGGAGAGGGAATGTGGCTACCTCAGTGAGCTGTCCTCCCCACCTTCATTTGGGATTAGGGAGAAAGTGCCAGGAGACAAGCAAGTGACACTCTGTCTTCTCATGCCAGAAAGCCGATCCCTGCGTCCCCCTTTTCCCACCCCCACCCCTGCCAAGCACTAGAGTTTTGGCTTAAAAACAAATCAGCTGCATAGTTTTGGTTTCCAACACTGACATCAGCTGTCAAAAGAAATCCCCTGAAAGGCAACAGCATCCTACAGTGAGAACTCACTACGCAGCCCGGTTCCCCACTGCCTGATTCCCCAAATGCCACCTGGCTAAGACAGATCGGGTCCATGTCCATGCAAAGGGTTTGCAGTTCCATTACTTTTTGGTGTTAGTAGTCAGCAGGTAAGAAAGGTGTAATGACCAGCAGGTATGTGCATATATGGTGCTGGAGATCAAACCCAGTGTGTGTGTGCTGCTGCAGATCAAACCCAGGTAAAGCAAATGCTCTAGGGCTGGGCCACTTCTCCAGCCCTACACTCGCCGTTCCTTCTCTTACCCTTAAGGTGCACTGCCCATCCCACAAAGTGGATACTTGGGGTAACCTGAATGAAGTGCAATTCCATTTTCACTTCTGAATTATCTTAGCGCTAATTTTATATTCCCTCTCATTCTCAAAAAAAAAGGGGGGGGCTAACTGTCATTGCTTACTTCAGGTCTATACTAAATCAAGGGTTTTTTAAAAAAGATCCAGGCTAGAGAGATAGTACAACCAGTAAGGGTGCTTGTCTTCCATGAGGTTGACCCAAGTTTGATTCCTGGCACCATATATGGTACCCCAAGCCTGCAAGGAATGATCTCTGAGCGTTGAGCCAGGAGTAAGCCCTGAGCACTGCCAGTTGTGGCCCCAAAACAAAAACACAAAACAGCAACAACAAAATATAAAGAAGGTTCTTCTTACATGTTCTTGGGCAAGTAACTTTTTAACCTCTGGAGTCTCCATTTCCCTTTCTGTAAAATGAGGATAGTGATGCCCAAAACAGGCAATTATGGTTTTAAAATTCCATGACACAAGTGGAGGAATTGACCCAATGACTTATATGCTAGATGTACAACTAAGTAAGAGCTGCTTTTTATCATGGAACCAGGAAACCAGCAATGTTCTGAAAGGGAACATGCAAGGGCATTTCTGTGAAAGACTGTCAAAAAATCCTGAACTTTGAACAAGGGGAAAGGGCCCATACCACTGGATTTTCTACTTCCATAGCCCTCCAGGTCTGTAATTTTCTCCTGTATTGTCTTTCTTACTTAGATTAGTTGTTTAACCCCTTAAAAGTAAAAAAAGGACTAAATGCTTATTTAGGGAGTCTGTTGCAGGACAAGTCAAAGAAACTCTAAGAGACTAGGGAAGAAGGCTTAAGGAGAGGACAGAACTGCTAACATGTGTGGGGACAAATGAGAAGAGACTGACCTCCAAGGATGTTCTGGAGGCCTCAATTTCTTTTGTTTTGGGGCTATACCCAACAATGCTTGGGGAATCACTCCTGGTGGGGCTCAGGGGACCATATTTGGGGCCTGGATGAGCTGTGCACAAGTGCCTTACTGCTGTACTATTGCTCCAGCTCCCGAAGGTCTCATTTTGTTTTAGTTTTCTGTTGCTGTTTTGGGGCCACACGTGGCAATGCTTAGGGGTTACTCCTAGCTCGCACTCAGGATTCACTCCTGGCTGTGCTTGAGGGATCATATGGGATACTGCGGATCGAACCGGGTCAGCCAACAGGCTGTCCTCTCTCTCTGGCGCCGTGGAGTTCATGTTTTTGGATCCCACAACACCTCCCCTGACCTTTCCTGCTTCCAGAACTCTGGCCCTCACTGCCACCACCACAACCACAGCACACTGGGGAACTCAGGATCTGGTTAGGCAGTACCACTCCCCTACCTGGTGCAAGCTGACCTATATATCCAGTCACCAAGATGTTTAGTGGACACCCAATTCTTTCTGTGACAGCGTGGTTACCCCAAACCTCCTCAAGCATGACTACAACCCCAGGGTGGCTGTTTGCAAGGCTGTATTCTCTCTTCTTTGGGCTAGAGCAATAGCACAGCGGGTAGGGCATTTGCCTTGCACGTGGCCGACCCGGGTTTGGTTCCTCCATCCCTCTTGAAGAGCCCGGCAAGCACCGAGAGTATCCTGCCCGCATGGCAGAGCCTGGCAAGCTCCCATGGCAGCAGAGCCTGGCAAGCTCCCCATGGCGTATTCAATATGCCCAAAACAGTAACAACCAGTCTCACAATGAAGACAATACTGGTGCCCGCTTGAGCAAATCGATGAACAACGGGAGGATAGTGCTACAGTGACAGTGCATGACTACAAAGAAAAGAATACCAGCTTCTGGCTTCTGTCCATACAACTAGTAAGTTCAGTCACCTGAATCTGGGTCAGAAGAGAAAGCTGCTCTCTGGGGCAAAGAAAGAATTACTGCCTGCAGGATAGGCCAGACTGACCCTCCCCTGGGCAGCAGAGGTCCTTGTAGAGTTTAAGAAAACAGGTTCAGGGCCATCTAGACTTGCCATGTCTTTAAGAGCGAGGCGTGGGAATAAGTAGTAAAGTACTGTAGGTGACAGATGTGAAGGCAAGGTCAAATACCATACTTCACGAAAAGCTCTTATTTCAAACTTCTGAAAAGCTCCAACGGCTCCATGCAAGGAGAAAAGAGAAGCTATATTTTCTCCTAAGTGGTGTCTACACTTAAGGGTCTATTCCAGCTTCCCTTCCATCCCAAGAAGAGGGAACCAATCAGGGGGCAGCGGTAGGCCCTTCCAGGTTTTTCCTCATGTCCCTGAAACCCAGACAGGCCTTCCCTGCTACCACAGAATGCAACAAAAAGGTGCACTGCTTTTTTGTTTCCTTTTGGGGACCCACTTGGCAGTGCTCAGGGGCCACTCCTGACCGTACTTAGGGGACCAGGTGGTACCAGGGATTGAATCTTGGATCCCAACATGCAAATTATGCACTCTGGCTGTTGAGCTATCTCTCTGGGCCCACAAAAGATGTGCTCCTTACAGAAACAGATGCACATCTAATACTTCAAAGCACCTATTTTGTGACAGCTTCTGCACTAGCCATATAGACTGGTTTGCCTGCGAGAAAGGCACTATACTGCTGCCTGGGGTGCAGACCTGAAAGAGCAGAAGTTTTCCCAGTTCACTGCAACATGAAGTCCTAAGGGAGATATCTTCCCGACAGTGATTTATTACTTATAACCACATGCAATTTGGGGTTATTGACGGATGTGTCTTCTCAATATTCTTCTCAATTGCTCTAACAGTGACTGTGGTGAGGTTGGGCTCATGAGCTCAAAGTCCAGTTGTTAAATCATCTACCCTCACCCCCTCGCCCCCATTTAAAGTAAAAATTGAAAAAAAGTAAAAAAATATGCAATGCTTCAAGAATGTTATCATTCTTGTGCAGGAGCCATGCTAATCTCTGCATCATTACGACTTTAGTATATGTGCTGCCAAAGTGTGCACAGTAGTCTGTATTCTAACATGAATATAGTAGTCTGTATTCTAACCATGAAAAGTAATCCATTTGCCTATCTTTTGCAAAACAATCAAACCATTTGCTAGAAATCACATCATTGTAAACAAGGAACTACAGGCAAGTATACTGATGCTTCCTGGCAGACAGCATTATGAAGCTATGACCGTATTATCTCCATAGTAAAAGATGAAGCAGAGGCTTTTAAAGAACTCCAGTCACTTGCCAGAGATACAGTAGGGCAAGGAAGGGCAAAGTCTTTCAATTCTAAGCCCAGACTTCCACTACAGAGACGCCACTAAAGTTTCTAAACAGCTGTCCTCATGTGCAGATTTATAATAGTTAACAAGTCACATACTACTTTTTAGCTGCATGCAAAAATGATGAATTAAGATTCAATGGGGCTGGAGCAATAACACAGCGGGTAGGGTGTTTACCTTGCACACGGCCAGCCCGGCCGATCCGGGTTCGATTCCTCTGTCCCTCTCGGTGGGCCCGGCAAGCTACCAAGAGTATCTTGCCCACACGGCAAAGCCTGGCAAGCTACCCGTGACATATTCGATCTCACAACGGAGATGTTACTGGGCCGGCTCAAGCTAATCAATGAACAATGGGAGGACAGTGCTATCTGGGGCTGGAGCGATAGCACAGTGGGTAGGGAGTTTGCCTTACATGTGGCCGACCTGGGTTCGATTCCTCCACCCCTCTCGGAGAGCCCGGCAAGCTACCAAGAGTATCTCGCCCACACGGCAAAGCCTGGCAAGCTACCTGTGATGTATTTGAAATGCCAAAAAACAGTAACAAGTCTCACAATGTAGACGCTACTGGTGCCCGCTTGAGCAAATCGATGAACAACAGGAGGACAGAGCTACAGTGCTAAGATTCAACAGAATTTTTGGACATAATCATAAAAAGCAACAGAGCTGGGAAGGGTTGAGTGACATATTCAAAATCAGACACCTACTAAGAGCTGAACCTGGATTTGCCCTTATGTCTGTGTGGTTCCACAAAGATCTTTTTTTGACGAATCAAAGGTACATATTCCAGCAACTGAGAGGAAATCACCAACTGAAAGAGAGGAAACACATCAGCCCCTCTTGCAATCACTCATTAGCAAGATGACTTGGACACATCCCTAAATAGAATCTGGATCTCAATAAATAGAAACAATGACCTCTGACCTACTTCACTGAGAAGTGAAAATCCAAAGCAGGAAAAAGTATTCAGAAGATCCTCTTTAAGAAATAAAGCGCTGGGCCGCATAGATAGGTTGGAGGGCAGGAGTGCGTGTTTTGCATGCAGAAGGCTTGGGGATTTCCCCCTCTCATTTCCCCACCCAAATAAATAATAGCGCCAAAGAGCTCAGGCTCAGTCGGACCGGGGTTCAAACCTCAGTCTCCCATCACTTACTGGCTGCACTGCATGAGTCTGGGCAAATCATTTTGCTTGGCTTCGTGCTTCAGTCATTTGCAAAAATAGGACTGAAACAAGCACCTACCTCAAAAAGTGATTGTGACGATTAAATGCGCATCCATTTAAACAAGGGACTGCCAGGTACGCTATCAATAAATGTCAGCTACTACTGCCTGGATAATTGTGCCTCGGGTCTTCAATGCAATGACTGAATTTTCCTATCAGGTGCGGCCGGGGCTGACAGTTTCGGTCCTGTTACGGTCTGCCTTAACCCCCTGGCTCTGTCGCCCCCTCCCAGTGCCCCCTGTCCACAGCCCTTCTTAGAACCTCCAGGAACCCCAGTCCCTTCTCCCCGTTTCGGCGCCGGCTCTTACTCGACGACCTTGGCTGGGTCCCCGTGGTGCTCATAGACCAGCGCGCGGACCCGGGAGGGCTCGGCAGGTGTGGAGTAGTTGGCCAAGCGAGGCCGGCGTGGGGAGCACAGCGTGGGGAGCAGTCCCTGCCGCAGCTGGGCAGGGGCTCGCGCCCCCCACAGCGCGCCGCAGACCCACATGTTCCCCGCAGGAAGCTCCGAGAGCGACGCTCCGCGTGACGTCATCTCCGCGCGCCGCCGCCTGGCCACGCCCCTCGCCACCCACTTCCCTTCCGCGGCTGCCCGCGCGATGGCGCCGGGGGAGACTGTGGGGAGCTGGGGGTCCGCGGTGGAGGGACCCGGGGGGGGGTAGCGCTGAGATCCGGATCCTGCCCAAGTTGATCGCCTGACAAGAAACGTCTGAAACTGGCCTCCGCTATGTCTTCGGGCTGCGGTTCGGGGTGGGACTGGGGGGACGCTCCCCTCCGCTAGTTTGGGTTTCTGCTCTTTATTGAGTGCTCGCGGTGCAAGACCCTTCAAGACATCACCTTCACCTCATTCTATCCCCGTTATCCCTGCACAACAGAGAGGATAAACTTATTATTATTTTACATTGCCCTCTAAGCTGCCATGAAGACAAGCGTCCGAGACTGGGAGTTAGAAGATTCGGGTTCAAATCCTAGCCCTGCCACTTTCTAGCTTGGCCCCCATGGATGCTGGAGTGTGTTTTCCTCGTTTATACAGGAGATAATATTTTTCCCGCGGGGTTGGATGGCACAATGTCATCACAGACAGGCGAGCACACTATGGAATGGAAGATGGGGAGGAGGAGCCTTCTCAAGATGCTCACAGTGGATGGAGATGATTGAGAGGAACGGTGGAAGTGTTTGGCAGAAATATGTATCCCAGGAAATATGATAGGGAATGTTGTCAAGTCCTGTCATGACCTATCAAGTGGCAAGAAGAAATGCCTATCAATAAAAGCCCACTTGGATGTCACAACAAGACAGACGGCGCTGGTGGAATCTGGAAGAGAGGTGTTTTTGGATAAGACCATCCTTTGGAGTGAATCCTGCCACTCAGAATCTTTAATGTGCATGAAAATTCCTTAAGGTTCCGTCTCAGAATAAGACTTTTGGAGAAGGGTTCAGGAACCCACATTCGTTAGCAAGCATTACAAGCTCTTAAGAACAGTCTGATGCAGATAGCCCAAGGGAATAGAGTTAGTGAAACACTGAATCAGGACTTTCAAAAAACAAGGAAGAATTTATTTCTTTGGATTTTATTGGCCCAAATAGTGCCAGTGTTTTTTTTTTCTCCCTTTCTGGAGGAGAAGAAAGGAAAAAAGGGGTTATGAAGAGGAGTGATGATGCTGTTGAGTTTTGGCAAACCTGGCTTCGAGCCCTGGTTCTGCCATTATTCCTCCCACTGACTTTAGATGTCATTTGGCAGAGCTGTGGCCTGATTCCCTTTTTAAAGGAAGTAATAACACTTTATGAAGATTGTTGTGAGGATCACGTGAGATATTGTTAACAAAACAATTTAACACATGATTCACACAGCAATGTTTCTAGGTTATTGTTAAGATTAAATGAGAAATGAAGATTAAATGAAAATTTTATTTACAACTAATGTATTAATCTGCATTGTTGCAAATTAGGAAAATAGGACTATGGTTACAATTCAATAATCAACTTGGCTTGAACATCGGGGTTCTCATGTAAGGCCAGCACTTCACCCTGTGCTATCTCTCTATGCCAATAACTTTTCTAACCACTTCCTATCTCACATCCCCCAATTCCTTCTTTTTCAGACATCAGAATGATTTTCTTAGAAAGATAAGATTTTGTTTTTCCCTTGATGGAAGATTATTTTGATCTTTCATCAGAATGGTTTTCTGACATTTAAGAAGAATTGGAAGCTATGAACTATTGCTATAGCAAATAAACTGTAGGAGTGAGGAGATTGCTTAAAGCATTGCCAGCATGTAGAGGCCCTAAAGTTCTATCCCTGGCACTGCCACTGTATGGCCCCCTGAGCACTGCAGGATGCAGCCCCCGTGGGCCCTAGTACTGCACACCTGAATGCTGCTGCATAGTTGGACCCCAGCATTGAATAGTCTGGCCACTATCACTGGGGGTGGCTCCAATGTCCCCTGAGCACTGCCTGCAATCTGCTCCACCCCCTGAAAAAGAAACCCTAAAATTGTAATTAAAACAAATCTAGGATTTCAAGCTGCTTTTAGAATCCTCTCACACAATTGACATGGGCTAAAGTCCTAGAAAAATGTCTCAAGGAAAACACTTCCACGAAAATTTTGTTCAACTAACGTATTAATCTGCACTGTTACAGATTAGGAAAATAGGACTATGGTTACAATTCAATAATCAGCTTGACTTAGACACCAGGGTTCTCCCAGGGCACAGTCTGAAAACCACTGCTGTATGAGGTTCATGTTCAATAGTACAGGCCTTTCCTTCTCTGACTCTGATACTTTTTCTCCTGCTGTTGGACCAGACAGTCTGTGATCCGTCTGTAGCCACCTTCTGCAGCATTTTCACTCTGCCGGCTCCTTCTGAATGAAATGTTCACCCTGCCCTGCCCACCTGGAAACTCCAGGAGTTGGCATTGTTTTTAGAAGGTGTTTGTTGACCCTCTTCATTGAGAGATACTGCTGCCTTTGTGTTTTCTTTAGACTTGTATTGTGGCCTTTAGGACACAGGCTTTTATTTATTTATGTGCCTGTCTGCCCCCTCCAGACACGAATGGGGCATGTTCAGTACATCTCCATGACACCAGCACCCAGTGGGTACTGGCACAGGGGAGGAGTCATAAATATTCCATGAGTTGACAGTAATTGGATTTCCTTATGGGTTGGCCCTATCTGGGACTCTGTCTCCTTTCCTCCTAGATTTAGGCCAGTCACTCCAGGCCAAGTCTTTTCCCTCTACTTTCAAGTCCCTCTTCTCTCAAAGGCTGTAGGAGTCTGTGCTCTTTTTCAAGCAAAGCAGAATTTTTTTGCATCTGTTTACCTATTGCTTGAGTTCTTCTCCCCACCCCTCTTTTTAAAATGCTCTTTAATCTTCCCTGCACAAGAGCTATAGGATCAGTTAGATCTAGATTTGAATCTTGTAGTGATAGTACAGAGGGTAGGGCATTTGCTTTGCATGCAGATTTGATCCCCTGTGCCCCATATGATCCCCTGAACCCTGCCAGGAATGATCCCTGAGTGCAGAGCCAGGAGTAAGCCCTGAGTACCACCAGGTGTGGTTCAAAAACAAAAAAGATTTGAATGTCTCCCCCACCCCATGCCCAAATATTTGAGCCCACCATTTACAAGCTGTGTAAACTTGTCTACAGGCCTTTTGCTCACCAAACCTTTGTTTCTCCAGCCCCAAATGGCAGCGTTGGTAAACTCTTATGAGGCTTTTGCAAAGACCCCTCTGAAAACAGCATCCTTCTTGTTCACCAGATTTCCCTTCTAGAGTTTCCTCTCCTGGGTGGTCCTTTCTGTTCTTATCTCCTCCAGTATCTCTTTCTTTCCTGTAAGCTTTCCTCTTCTGTCTTTCTCTCTCTGTAACTTTCTAGTTACTTATTAGCCTCTGGTGCCTTTTTTAAAAAAAATGGGGCATGGGTGTTTGGGCCACAGCTGATATTACTCAGGAGTGATCATTAATTGTGCTCAGGCATCATGTGTGGTACGAGGAATTAAATTGGGGTTGGCTGCATGCAGGCAAGAACCTCACCCCTGTGCTATCTCTTTTTGGCCCCACTTTTGGTTCTTGTCTACTGTATCTTCCCTGTTTTAAGCTGAAGCACATCAGTGCCAACAAGAAAGATCATCAAGAGTCCATGATCCCTCAACCCCATTTCTGACAGGTCCAACATTACTTGGTTCAGCTGGGCGTGTGCACAGGGAGAGCCTTGATACATCTTGAATGCCTGGATGCTGCCAGTGTCACTGCCCACACATCCCTCTGCTTCCATAGTCTAATCTCTATCTAGTCTCTTAGGGCACTTAAAGATTCAATTTTTTCCTTCTTTGACTTTGTGCTGTGAGTTGCCCTTAGGATTTGTTGCAAAGCTCTGTAGTTTTGCATAACCTATAAGCTCCAAATGGCCCTTCTAGCTGCACCTGACTGCAACTCCTGCTCACTTACTTCACTCCAGGACCCTTAATAGGGTCCTGGCGCTCCCCACAGTAGAAGTTCCTGCTGTGCACAGCCTGTCCTTCTAGCCCCACTAACTTTTTTTTTTTTGCTGTTTTTTTTTGGGGGGGGGGGAGCTGCACCTGGCAGTGCTCAGGGATTATTCCTGGCTCTGTACTCAAGAATCATGTTAGGCAGTTTCAGGGGATCGTATGGGGTGCTGGGGACCAAACCTGAGTTGACCCTGTACCTACTTGCTGTACTATTGCTCCAGTCCCTCGTCCCACTGATTTTACACAAGACTGACTCCTCATCCTTCAGCGCTCAAATGGCACCACATTTGACTCAGGAAATCCTTTTTCCATCACCCTAACTACAGTCGGACCCCTCCCTTCAATTATCTGTCATAATACTTCATTTGTTATCTTTAGAGTACACATCTCAAATTATAACTACATGTCTTCTATTGCTCTATCCTCCTAGAATGCAAGCTTCATGAAGGTGAGTAGTATATCTATTTATATTCATTCATTTAACCACTCAATATCTATTGAGCACTGACTAGATGCTAGACACCAAGCACTGGTATACAAGACAAAGTCTCTGCCCTAGGGAGCACTATTCTAGCAAGACAAATAATGCATATACTAGGGGCTGGGCTGGAGCAATAGCGCAGTGGGTAGGGCATTTGCCTTGCATGCTGGCCGACCCGGTCCACCCGAGTTTAATTCCTCAGCCTTCGATTCCTCCGCCCCTCTCAGAGAGCCTGGCAAGCTACCGAGAGTATCTTGCTCGCACGGCAAAGCCTGGCAAGCTACCCGTGACGTATTCGATATGCCAAACACATTAACAACAAGTCTCACAATGTTACTGGGCCCGCTCAAGCAAATCGATGAACAACGGGAGGACAGTTACAGTGATTCTAGGGGCTTGACTTTAAACTGAAATAATTTCTTTCCCTTTCACTGTTCCTGTGCCGACCCCCACACCCCATTTTCTCTGGTATATCACTGTATCATAAACCAGAGTCTTAGAAATGTGAGAAATTATTTTGGTCATTTGTTTATATTCTGTGGGGTAGGAAATGTGTATGCTTTACATCTCTACATGGGGTTATAGTAATTATTGAGTAAATAAATCAGTATCCAGTATGAGTTTTTTTCCCCTGATAGAGGCAAGTCTGCTATTCAGTTTAAATTGGCTTTGGTTAATTTAAATAAAACTATAGGCTTTGATTCAAATCATGATGCTTCCACATGCCAAAGTATAACTTTGGAAAAGTCTAATTTTATTCTCTATACCTCAATTTCCTTTCCTCGTTTCTCATGTTTATGAGAAACAGTCTTGTTTCTGACGCTCCATTCGCTCTCAACGGAACGACCATCTCCGAATGCAACAGTTATGTGTACTTAGGTCGAGAAGTCAACATGACAAATGATCTGGCACCTGAGTTGCACAGGAGGAAGAGAGTGGCTTGGGACGCCTTCAAGAAATAGCTAAGAGGACAAAGAACTTCCGGCTCTGGGCACATCTCTTTGATTCCACTGGTCTTCCTGCATTAACATACGACTCAGAGACCTGGGCCCTATGAAAACAGGATGAGAACGCTATTCGGGTCTCCCAGAGAGGAATAGAAAGAGCTATGGTTGGAGTATCACACTTCACTCAAATGAGAGAAAGAATTCAGAATTCCGACTTTCGTCGACGATCGATAATCAGGGACGCTGTCTCATTTGCCAGGGCGTCGAAAATCAGATGGACTGGATACCTCATGAGATTTGGAGATGACCACTGGACGAGAGCCATTACCAACTGGATTCCACAGGATGTCAAAAGATCACGTGGCCGACCACCTATGAGATGGTCAGACTTCTTCATCAAGACCCTGAATGATCGGTTTGAGGCTCTTTGTGTTCCTAGAATGAGCAGACGCCATTGGGCAACACTCGCACGCGACAGAGATGAATGGAGACGTTACTGGTGCCTGCTTGAGCAAATCGATGAGTAACAGGATGTCAAGTGATCAAGTGACCTCAATTTCCTTAGCTGTATAATGGGAAACATAGTGGAGAAGATGAACAGAGCCCATGTGGATAAAGCATAGATAGTGCCAGGTATAACATAATAACAGACTAGTCTGTAATTGGTGCCCAAGGCTGGTACTGGGTGGAAGCAAAAATATGCTTAGTTTTTTTACCCAGAGGGAAGACGAGGACCTATGAGAATTTGGGTAGGGGACATCACATCATGGAAAGTAAAAACTTCCTAAAAGTTAGCGTGGCAAGGAGAAGTAGATGACTCTGTTGGCATAGTAGAAGACTTCAACATCTTTTGTAAGAAATGGACATGCCCTGGGACTTGACATGAAGAGATAGTACAGCAGGTAGGGCATGATTGCTGACCTGGGTTGATCCCATTTGGTCCCCCGAGCACTGCCAGAGTAAGCCTTGAGCATTGCTGGGTGTGGCCCAAAAAGGACATGCTCAGCAGGCAGAGAATCAAAGAACAGGGCTGAACTTGAGAACACAATTAAACAGCTGGACATTATGGACATTCATTGACTCATCCAGCAACAGCAAAATACATTCTGCTTCAGTTTATATGAGATACACAAGTCAGATCACATTCTAGGCCATGGAAGCAAATTTACTATTTTTTAAAATTAGTTTTTATTTGTTCTTGGGCAGCACATGGCAGTGCTGGGGTGCTACCACTGGCTCTGTGCTTAGGTGTTCACTGCCCAGCAGTACTGAGTGACCAGGTGATGCCAGGAAAGAACCCCAGACCTCCTGTTTGCAAAGCTGGAGCTCAGCCTGTTGAACTCTTTGATCCCATAAAATGCAAATAAATGTCTTCTGCCCCCGCGCCTGGGTGTTCCTTCCCGGGGCCCCTTGTAGGGGAGCGGGTTGAGCTTTCCTCCCAGCCCCGACCAGGGCTCCGGCAGCCGAAGACCTCCAGGACCAGCCACCACCATGCTGAGACCACTCTCCGCACACATGAAGGTACTGGCAGAGGGACAAAGCCACGCGGGTTCCGGGGCCGAGACCTCCAAGCCTACTCGGATTGGAGTCGAGCATCTTCCACCCAGATCCTCCAAATTCCAGTAGGCGGGGGTCACACTCACCACCTGGCCCCCTGGCGCCGTGTAATCCCATCAGTGGCCAAGACTCAGAGACTATAAAATCCAGATCCAGGAACCGCGCGGCCGCATTTGCGGCCGCGCCACATCTTATTAGAACTTTTTTTTATGACATCTTATTGTCTCATTCCTACTTTGGACAAACTTGCAGGCTATCGAATGTAGCCTGCGCACAGGGCAGAGTCTGGCAAACTCCCCGTGGCGTTCCCAATATGCCAAATACCAGTAACAATTATGGGTCTCATTCTCCTAAAGAGCCTTGAATATAATCTAGGGCTAGGATGAAAGAGACGTTACTGGGGCCTGCTCGAGGCAAATAAATGTAAAAGAATTTAATTCTTACAGTGTCAATAGCAGAGAGTTGAAAAACAAAAACTCCTTGAGTACTGGTAGATTAAATAACACATAGGTTAGAAAGAAATCCCAAGAGAAGTTAACAAATACTTTGAGAGCTCAGTGTCAAAAGTCTTGCAAGCATGAGGCCAATAGTTAGATTCCTGATGCCACCCACAGGTGCTGAGCAGGGTGCTGGTGACTGCTGTCTGGAACCCCTGGTACTAACTACAACAGGTTTTGCAGTCTCTGGTGCACTGCAGCCAGCTGTGTGCACACTACAGCTCAGGAGTGTGACCCCTGGTGACAAGTGTGCCAGAACTGCAACCAAGCGTGGCAAACCCTGGTCAGCATAACATCAACCATAACAACAACAAAACAACAGGGAAAACAAAAACTACAGCAAAAGGGTCAGAAGGGGAAACATAAAATTAAAAGACGAGCAAATTAAATCCAAAGAAAGCATAGGTGAAGAAACCACTTTATTTTTTAAATTTTTATTTATTTATTTTTGGCCTTTTGGGTCACACCTGGAAATGCACAGGGGTTACTCCTGGCTCTGGACTCAGGAATTACTCCTGGCAGTGCTCAGGGGACCATATGGGATGCTGGGAATCGAACACGGGACGGCTGCGTGCAAGGCAAACACCCTACCCTCTGTGCTATTGCTCCAGCCCCAAGAAACCACTTTAAAAGGTAGAGCAGAAACCAAGGACATTGTAATCAGCAGAGAAAAAAATGTACGAAACCGAAAGCTGGCCCTGTGAAAAGACAGTTTTATTGTTAATCAATAAGATGAATGAACCTCAAGAAGAGACTAAGGAGAGAGAGGACATGCCTAGTAGTGTCAGAAATGAAGGAGGGGGCATTACTACAGACCCCATGGACACTAAGAAGGTGATAGAGGGGCACACTGCTAATAATTTAAAACGCCAGCGTTTTCGAAGACCCAGCTCTCACAAACAGGTGATGTGTTCTGGGAGGTGATAGGGAAGTGCCTTTGGATGGGTGTAGGACAGGTAGACGGGATTCATGCACCGAATGGGACAGAGGCCTGGGTGTGGGTCTGTGTCCTGGGCAGTGCCGCCTCAAAAGCCAGGCACGGCAATGACCGCGCTCATCTGAGACTGTGGGTGCCTGGTCGGTGCAGAGGCCGTTGGGGCGCCCAGCTCGAGACTTGCAGGACGTGGGGCGGAAGTGGGGCGGGGCGCTCCGGGGCGCGGGGACCAGAGGACCACAGGTTGCCGGCGTGGCTGCCTGCAGGGGGCGCCGCAAGACCGCCGAACGCTCGGCCGGGCCTGACGTCAGCGCCCCGCTCGCTCGGGCTCCCGCTCCGGACTCGGCGCCAGTCCCGCTCAGCGCCGCTCGGCTCCGCTCCTGCTCGGGCTCCGGCGGGGCTCCGGCGGGGCGCGGGCGGCGGCGGCGCAGCATGGGCCGCGCTCAGGCGCTCGTGCTGGCGCTCACCTTCCAGCTCTGCGCGCCCGAGACCGAGACTCCGGCAGGTACGCGCGCCTCGGACCCAGCCCGCCCCGGCCCGTGGCGTAGCTCGCAAGAAAGTGGGACGGTCGGGTCCCCGGCCGCTCCGAGTTTGTGGCCCGTGTGTGGGAGTGTGTCGTGAGCCATCGGGGAACTGTGTTGTCTTCGAATGTTGTGTGTCCGCGAGTTTATGCGTGCCCTGGAAGGCGCCGTGTGTTGTGTGCGCACAGGCGTGTGTGGGAGAATGGTGTGTGACCCGGGGACCGAGTCCGCTTGTCTGCCCGCGAAGTAGGTTGTGCGTGCGAGCGTGTGTGTATGTGTGTGTGTGTGTGTGTGTGTGCGCGCGCGTGCGTGTGTGTGCGTGTGTGTGTGTGTGTGCGTGCGTGCATCTGACTTTGGTTATGTGCCGGGAGTTGTGGCTGCTAACGGGTTGCATTTGTTTGCGGCTTGTGTGCCACCCTGCTGTTCGGTGCGCATCTGGAAATGTGTTGTGTGTCTGTGTGGCGTGTGTGGCCGCCAGAGCTCTGTGCGTTCAGCCCGCGTGTGGAGCGGGGAACGCGTGTTAGGTGAGTGTGTGTGTATGTGAGTGTGTGTGTGTGTGTGCGTGTGTGCTAGTGCTAGTGCCGGCGTGGGACGTGGTCCGGACGCGTGTGGTGTGCACCGTGTGCATGCTGTGTAGGCGGGGGAGTGTCGGGGTCAGTGTGCGCCGCCCAGGGCGGCGTGTGTGCGAGCGTGTCGGGAGCTGGTGTGAGTGTGTGAGTGTGTCCTGATGTGCTGGCTGCGTGTCCAGGAATGTTGCGAGTGTTGTGTGCCGCGTCTGGGCTTTGGTTGCGTGTGTACCCGCGGCCCGGCCGGGCAGGATGCGTGTCCGCGAGTGTGTGTGTGTGTGTGTGTGTGTGTGGTGTGTGGTGTGTGTGATGTGTGTGTGTGTGTGTGTGTGTGGGCGCGTGCCGGGCCCGCGGGGGCCTGGCACTAGTTGTCCCCGGGCGGGCCGAGGCGGCCAGGAGGAACGGGCCGCGGCCGCCGCGACTCCGACATGTCGGGCGGTTTGTTGTTTCGCAAGTTGGGCGCGGGCGGGCGGCGGCGCCGGGGCTGCGGGGCGCCGGGTGGGGCGGGCCTGGCGTTCGGGCGCGGGACGGTGCCCCCAGCGCCCGGGGTTGCGGGGGGAGGGGTCTCCCGCGGCGCTCCCGGGCTCCGCTCGGCAACTTTGCGAGGCCTCCCGGCCGGGCGACACCGCGGTGTGTGTGCACGCGTGTGGGCATGTGTGTGTGCGCGCGGCTGCCTGTTGTGTGATCGCCCAGACCCTGGGTGCCCCGCAGCCTGATTGCGTGCGTGTGCGTATGCGTGTGTGTGTGTGTGTGTGTGTGTCTATGTGTGCGTGCGCGCGTCTGATGGTGTCTGTAGAGGCTGGGCTGTGTGTCGGTCTGTGCTGCGCACCGTGTGTCACTGTGTGTTTGCTTGTGCGTGTGCGTGCCCCTCCTCCCGCACCCAGATCTCCGGAGCCCACCCCGAGGCCAGGAATCCCAGACTGTGGCCCCCTCCAGCGGATTTGCCCCAGACTGAGAAGCCGTGCCTGTACTAGCTGGGGCCCCTTTGGGTGGGGAGGGTCCAGCTGAGTGCCCAGGAATAACGGGGAGTCACAGGGAGTCGCTGGGGTCGGGTTTGGGAGCCGAGTCCAGGGGCTGAGCTGCCAGACTTCCTAACCCCCCCACCTCCACCCTATCCAGGTCGCTGCCTGGTGGTGCCCTGGGACCTGGGTTGGGGATCAGGGGTGCCCCAGGGGGCACAGCTTTAGCTCTGAATCCGGGTGCCTTGAGAAATGCTCAAGACCAGCTCCCTCCCTGTTTGCCCCCACCACAACCCCGGCTCTGGCCCTGCAGTTTAGCAAACCCAAGGCAAGGCAGCATCAGAGGATGCTGCCATCTGCCCCACCCCCCCACCCCCCCAGAAGACCTGAGTTTTCAAGTGTCCAGGCTCCTGGGGCCGTCTGAAGTGTGGGAGAGTGAGGAGGGAGCCCTCAACCATCACCTCCATTTTCTTGGCCTCGGTTTTCTCATCTGTGACAGCGGTGTGTGGTGCTTAGCAGGTTGTAAGGAAGGTTCTGTCTGTGAGTGCTGTGGAGCAGAGGACCCGCCGGGGACAGTGGCCAGAGCCCCAAAGCTCTAATTTGAACTCAGGAGAGCCTCGGCTCATATTTTGTTTTTGCCACTTGCTGTCCTTGTGACCTTGGGCGAGTCTCATCACATCTAAAGTTCCTGGCTATTACTATTAGAGCTTAATGCAGAAGCCTTTAGTAGAGGGGTTCATTTAGCCCTGCCCTTGTTTAGGTAAAGTCAGCTCAGCTCCTAAATGTTCTTTAATGCCCCCCAAGCCTGCACGTGCACACGTGTGTGTGTGTGTATGTGTGTGTGTGTGTGTGTGTGTGTGTGTGTGCTGTTTGTTCCTCTGTGTTCTAGCTCATTGTGTCCTTTGTTTGCTGGAGTTGTGGACAGCAGGAATGAGGGAGAGGCTGCCCAGTGGTTTTCAGGTTGGGCAATAAAGGCTTGTCTGGGCAGCTGGCCTTCACCATGGGCTGGGGGAGGGGACTCAGTAGGAAGAGTGGAGAGTGGCCTCAGCCTTCTGCTCAGCCCCAAGCCGGGAAAATCCTGGGGAGGGGCCAGCCCACCAATACCTTGCCATGTTCTTGTCTGCTAAGCCTCTGCTTGTAGGACTGAGGAGCTAGAGTGGCAGTGAGTGCCCGGTGCTCCCCTCCTCCCTGCCTTCCTCCCTTTGCTCCTCCAAGCTGCTCCCACTCTCAGGGCCCTTCTCTGGACCCACCATCTGCCTGCTTCTCTCCATCAACCCCACCTTTCATTGCAAGGGGGCTCCAGCCTCTTCCCTCCAGCACTCCCCTCCCTACCCCATGCAAGGGTCCTTTCAAAACTCCCTCCCGATGGCCTCCAGCTGCAGGCCTTCCCATCCTCCCGTCTGAAATCAGCCAGCCTGCCCATTCATATGTTCTTTGCCCCTGGCACCAGGTTCTTTCTGCCTCTCACACCTATATTCCTCCCAACCCCCATGCCATGGCCCACCCTCTCCTCTCTGGGCTCCTACACAAGTTGTGCTTCTCTTTAGGACCCTGCTTTCTCCCTCCCCTCCCCCCGCCCCCCAAGCTCCTGTTTCTCCCTCAGGTGTTCTCCCCGTAGACATCGCATCGCCTCCCCCCTCCAGTCCCCCTTGGTTACTCCCTGTTGCGGCCGGGAAGGGAGGGCGGGGGTTCACCGCGTTGGAATGAACATCACTGCAGTTTGTTGCTCGGTCTCCCAGACAGGGAGGAGAGGGACTGAGTGTTCAGTTCGCCCCTGAATCCTTAGGCTGGGCACAGGACTCCCTGGAAACTGAAGGTGGGCAGGAAGCATCAAGTCCAGTGGGTCAAGGGCTGAGCAGGAGAGGCCAGAGGGGGGCGCACTGACTCCACTGAAAGTAGAGATGAAAGAAGCAGGTTTTCCCTCCAGGAATCTGGAAAATTCTGCCTAGTGGTGGTGTGTGTGGGGGAAAAGGCCACGTAGAGGCCTTTTCTGGGGGCTGTGGGTTGAGGAGGTTAAGTCCCCGCGGAGACTGAAAGCCCAGGTTTCGGCCCTTCCCCCCTCCCCCTCCCCCCAGAGCCAGCCCCACCGCCAGCCTTTTGTGCTGAGCCCCCAGCAGCTGGGAGAGGCGTCAGCAAGCCCCAACCGTTGGTCTGAGTGTTTGGGGAGGGCGGGAGTGGCAGACTCCCTCCCTGCGTCTGTCCCAGATCTGGGGGGGCCGGTCACAGTGTGAGCTAGCCCCTGCAGGTGGGTGCAGGAGGCTGAGATTTGCCGTAGATGTGATCCCGACATCTGAGCAGAGTTCCCTTTGTGTGTGTGTGTGTGTGTGTGTGTGTGTGTGTGTGTGTGTAGATTGGGGCACAGGACATTTGTGTGGCCTCTCAGGGTTCTGGCCACCCTACCTGCAGGATCTGGGTTTGGAGGAGGGAGGTGACTGGTGTTTGGCTTCCTGCCTGGAAAATCTGGTAGTGGGGGAGTCTTTGTCGCCAAGGCCCACGTTCTTGGGGTTGGTGTGTGGTGCTGTCTGGGGGGACAGACATTTCAGGACCTAATCCCAGGGTCTAGGGCATCAGGATATGCAAACCTAAGAGTGTGTCTGCATCCAGCGGGGGCTGAATGCAGATGTTTGGATGTGCAGTGCGGTGGTCATACATGGGGCTGCCTGGTAAATGTGGGGAGTTTCTGTATTCAGCAGTGGTCCCCAGGTGCCCAAATGCCCAAGTGTCTGTGCATCTGGGAGTGGGGTGTCCTTGGAGGTGTCTGTCTGTGGTTAGGTGTCCTGTTTCCAGGACAATGCTGTGGCATGAGCCCTGTGGGGTGTGTCCTGGAGGTCATACCCAACCATAGGCTGGAGACTGGGCCTATGCCGGGGACACCCCCTTTCCTGGGACTTGCCACCTGTCGCTCCTTTTGACCCCAAGACCAGGAGTCTCAGCAGGAGGCCCTGTGGCTCTGCTTCTCCATGAAGCCCGTCTAGAGCTGCGTAATCAGACAGAACTTTCCACTAGGCGGAAGCGCTCTCCCTTACAGTTTAACTCAGGGGCTGATGGCCAGTGGAGGCTGTTAAATTTAAATGCGACAGAATTCAGGATGAGGAAACCCTGGTTCCTCCTTTGCAGGAGGGTGTCAAGCCCTCCTGAGCGCCATGTTGCTCTGGGCCTTGTCTCAGGCACCGTGGGCATCATTTCCCTAAGGCAGAAGGTGCCTTGGGCTCTGTGGGGCCCTCCGGGGTGGACTTGGTTGCACAAGGTATCATTCAGCAGTGGCTGGACAAAGTTCTGTGGAGTCCGTGGCCCCTGCCCTGACCTGGATCTTTGCAGCAGCCCCCTCCTTCCTCCTCTCTCTCCTCTCCCAGCCCCCAGGCCTATAGCCTGGCCCTGTGCTCAGTGCTCTGCAGCACTCTGAGGACATCTCCCGCCCTAATGTGACAGGTGAGGCCACATGACACAGCCCTTACTTCT